ACCCCATTCCAGCGACTTGGTATGCCAGTGTTCTTTTAGTTTAAGCGAGAAATGCCCTACCTAAGACGCCAGATCTAAAGGAGTAATCGTAGCCGAAGGTATGTGTCTACGCTTTATATCTTGTTGGTATATTTCTTCAGGTTGCGATAAAAGATCAATCTATCCACTTTCTTTTAACTTCACAGTCCCTCTTCTGTAAACCGGGAAGGCCTAGTGTCAGCTCTTGATTCAAGGGTAAAGTCTTTCCGTGTGCTTTTGGATTGCGTTGGCACTGATTTTGATGGCTTAGTGTTCAGTGGGCTGAGCTCTATATCGGGGGAAGCTTGAGTTGAGCCCTCTCCTTGAGTCTCTGTATTTCCTCAACCCGTCCCTCCTCCAGTCACCACACTTCCTCCAGTCCTCTGAGCATCTGGAGCAGCTTGAGCGTTTAATGAGCTTATACTTTTTCTATTACAAAAGCCGCACATAGTGTAAGAATGCAGAAAATGATTCTAATCTGAACCCATCCCGCTGCCGAACTTCCCCATTGGGGAAATGGGATATGCTCATGTAGGGCAATTACTACAAAGAGCATTCTGATATTAAGGATATAGATTCTGTTTGATGCTGCTGGAAAGGTCGCTTTAGAATGGGGTTGGTGCATTGTTGTGTAGGGGTTTGTATACTAGATGGGTCTTTGAAGTTTGATGAGATGAAGTGGGTAGAATTAATTTTATATCATCGTTCTGAAGTATGTATCAATACTTTTAGGAGAGTACGTCTACAAAGAATTTTGAAAATGGGACTCATTCAATATCTAATGCCTCATGGATGGATTGTATTGACTATGGTACCACGAGCATCGCTTTATTGTCCAATCATGATGTTATACCTCATACTCGCCAAGTTATCATGACTCCATGCACCCAAGATAGCCTTAAGATATTCAATCATGATTTCTACACGAACCTTTCTGATGCTCGGTGATTGCCATTAACTGTCTTTTTCTAAATTGGTGTTAACAGATACGAAGATAGTTTCATTTCCGACTATTGCACATGTGAACATAGCGGTCTTCCACTATATGACCCAACGCAATTCGAATGGCATGATTCGGATTCTTCAGCTCAAGGTGCACAATAATTCTTAATTGTCTGAACCCAATTCGAACCATGAGCTATAAATATTCAGTTCAACATGGACAAGCATGCATCGATGTTGAAACCGAGCTTGAACAATTTAGGAGAATTTGCGCAGGTGGCACATGAAGTTCTGATGAAGAGCTCATCACTGTCCAATTTACTCGCTGATAGTGAGAATGTTCGAGGATGGGCTAGAATATGAATGGGATCGCGGCTTTTGAGGTGTTTTTTTTATGGTACGAGATGGGAGGATTGCCGGGATGATTGATGATAGATTACCGTCCATTGATTTTGGGATCGTAAAGATGACAACTACTCACATGCATTGCGAGGCCAGTAACCAGAAAGATCTAAAAAATGCTTTGGAAGATCACGAATAGGGCAATATAATAGAGTACACCTCATCAATACATGAGTTACCTCTTGGAATAGATATACTTAATGGCTCTTAGTCGTTCGGTTGAATAAGCGAGCCCGCTAGCTTTCATAGTGACTTTTGACCACATTCTAAACTGACCATCCCGACAAATAAATTATACAGTGTCATAGTATTAAAATCTCATGCTCTTGATCATACTAGATCCAATTCTCGCACTTTTAAACCCAAGGCCGATCATCAACGAATTATAGTATAACACAGTCCAAATACCCTTAGCCACCTCTTCCCGTTACCGGCGTTTGCTTTCAACGGGTCTTCTTCCTTCACTTTGATACCATATTCTTTGATGTAACACTGAAAAGGCTTGTTTTTGGGCTTAATATCTTGTGGTATTTCCACCTGTTCTACCTTCTTCATAACTTCGATATCTGCATTTGTCTGCTCGAACACGACAGGTTTCTCGGATCCCTTGGTTTGCTTTTGTCGGGTCGAATCACCGGCTTCGTCCTCTGAATCCACCGGAAGACTATGATTACTTTTTGAAAGATCATTTCCTTCGTCTTCAGATTCCGAATCTGTGGCCCTGGAAGCCTCGGGTGCCACCTTTTCTGTATCTGATTTCTCGCCGACTTTCTGTAAAAGTAGAGCAGATTTTTGCTCTTCTAAATCTCCCCAGAGCTTAAAGAGTGTTTCTTTAACATCTCTAAGCATTCCTGGATTTATTCGTAGGCTTCAACGGTACATTAGCTTTACTTAGTTTACAGAGACAAACAAGAATTAGAGATGGACATACTTGCAAGCATCGCCCTGAAGATTGAGTAACATCTGTGCATCATAATTTTCTACCCTAAGAATAGCTCTCTCTTTAGAAGCATCTGGATTTGCATCTTCGACTACAAGCGAGAAGAACCATTCCCATTTCCTTTCTACGCAACCCTTGCCTTCGCGGAAACTTTGCATATCTTCCTTTGGATCATCATCTTCATCGCCACTATAATCAGATAACACATCGAATTCGCTGATTTTACGACCAACTGCGAAGTCAGCAATGCTGTGAGGTAAGTAATCTACAACCCGAAGATTTGTTTTGTAGATGTTATTCTCGAAGGGTGCGTTGATTCCGGCAAATTTAGGATCTGAAGAGATGGGCGACGTGCGTTGCAGAATACTCGATAATGGTATTATGTCTCTTGCAGTTAGAGAAGGATGTAATATCACTATCGAATTGTTAGATATTAGACCATTATAGCATGAAAACTTACCATTTTCGTTTAAATCAAGATTCTCAACAGCTTTCATCCCGCTGGAAGCACTTTTGGCCTCTGTCCTGGCTCGTGACTCTTTTCTTCGCGCTTTAGAATTTTTTCCGCTTATTTGTCCCTCTGCTTTGCGCTTGGTTCCTGCCCCTGAAATTTCTTCTTGAAGTCTCTTTCTTTCCTTTTCATGCTTTTGGGTCCAATCACGCTTTCGTCGAAGACAGTCTTTCCATCTGGGATCATTGTTTTGAGGGTCTTCAGAAGTTTTCATGATCTCGACTTGAACTTTACCATCAGATGCTCCTCGATCACCACGAAGCTTACCCTCCATGAGACCTGCATTGCCTGATTTGAATTGGACATTAGTCAAGCGGAGCCACTGGCCTTCCTTAATGTTTTCCTCTCGAATAAACATGGCGTGGGCGTCGAATAGTGTGAGCTGAATGGTCATTTTTCCGAACGGACCTTTCCATTCTTTTGCTTCGTCCTTGGGCTTCGCTTTGATATATCCATATTCATCGCCATCGCGACCTTCCGTCACGACACTCGAAAGTCCCGGTAGTGTATAGTTGTAAAAGTTAGAGTGAGCTGTGTAGTCGGTGAAGTAAACGGTGACCATATCGTTATTAGCTCCATAAATCTTTCTCACTTCGCCTATGATATCGTGAAACGAGCCGTCTTTGACATCTTTAAGTAGACTGAACTTATCCCTGACCTGTAAAGCTTTTTTGGCTTTTTCCTGAAATTCTTGAGTACCAGGAAACTCAACTTCATCAAGATTTTGATTTGACCATACCACATACTTAGTCTCGATGGGTTCTGGACGTCGGCATCTTGCTGGTGGTGTTGAAATCCACGAAGCTTTGATGACGGGGAAAATAGCTTTAGGGATGTGCTCAGCACGGAGTATATGGTATTCGGTACTAAAGTGAGATAGTAACTGTATCTCCCCATTACGCAATTGAACCTTAATTCGTCAATTGGTAGCCAAAGGGTATACGAAAGAAGAGAGAAATACCTTTGCACTACGGATAAGTACGGCATCCTTTGGCTTGTGGATTTGTGGCATCTTGTCCTCTGTTGCAAAAACACTCATCCTCAAGCCGAAGCGCTCAAATCGCGAGGAAAAATCTTTGATTTGAAAACTGCATTTGAAGTCTGTATGGTTGTGTCAATATTGGCTGACTTACACAGCAGAAGTGAATTCAATCACTATCCAATGATCACCTACCTGTTCCCTTGGTTTGGATAGGAGGTTGATGATCCATCACAAATCCTATTACATTGACAAATTGTGGCTTTACAACCCCACCTGGTAGAATTTCAAAACTCTTGATCTGCTCAACAGTCTGAAAGCCCTTAGGAGTGACCACCTCAGGCTTAGCTATCTCCTCCATCGTATCGACGTTTTGCATATTGTCCATTCTTGAATACTTCACAATAACACTTCACAAGTTGTGTTCCTAGCAGTGATGCCCTCTCACCCTAAAAAAGACAACAACAAATTTTAGTTGGCCATAGATCTGGAAACATAAGCTTTTGGTGAATGTAGCAATTGAACACCAAAGAATCCTTCTTATGTTAGGTATATTTTCATAACTTACTCGCCCAGTCCTCTTCTTGGTGAATAGATACACTGAATTGATCAAATCTGAAGTAAGTCCTGCTTGCCAAATGAACAGAAGTTACTGCTCTTGTCCGAAGCCTCTAGTGCACAGGAAATGTACCGAAAGTGTATTGATGAATGCACACTTAAATGTATGGAGAGTCTGCTTCCTGCCGTACTTGCTCTTTCCCTATAATCTGTTTCGCATTCAAGATATAGTAAAGTTACTGTTCCTCTCTTCAGCGTTTTTGTCAGGTACAGTAAATACTCTCTTGCTTGTGCATGTATGAATAGACGCGTTAATTGAATCTCTGTAGGTAGACGCGACCCAAAGCTTATTAAGAAGCTTTGTCACATGTCATGTCATGACATGACAGAAACAGTCTAACCAATCAACGCTGACCAATAAGGAAAAAGAATGAATCGTAATAAGCAAGCTTCGAGTATTAGTCACCATTGATGTTTCGCTAAGATCACGTTTCAAACTAATCTTTACCGCTTTCAGCTTGGAGGCGGATTGTTCCTCTTCTATTCTTTTGGGGCCTTCTTCTCAAACCATTTAGAACCCAAAGAATCTTCTATAATTTTTCCCCATCTCTCTTCATTCACTACAACAAATAAAATCAACTCCAAATAAGATTTTACACTGCGGCCTAACTGTAAAGGTCGTTTCTTATTTAAGCCTCTTACTTTCTTTACAACACAACAAAACACATCACTCTCAGTCATATCGCAAGCATGGCTGAACGTTATATCCCAGAGCATCGTCGAACTCAGTTCAAGGCAAAGAACACCTTCAAGCCTGAAGAATTAAGACGTCGTCGCGAAGAACAACAAGTTGAGATTAGAAAAGTCAAGCGTGATGAGAATCTTGCAAAAAGAAGAGGTATTACAGCAGGAGATGGATCTTCACGACCTGGTGCCTCTTTGGGTGCTGAGCCTGATAGTGATGATGATCAACCTCCCACAGAAAGTCAAGTAAGTTAAGATCGCACAATCTTTTCCGTTTAACTAGCACACTATTCGCACATTACTCGACGTTACGAGTTTTAAAATTATGCCAATACTTCTTTCGATATACCCCACCACTGCGAACTTCCTACATAGCTTTCAACTATTTACTTTCCTTGGTGGGGTAGTAGCTGTGTCCTAGTGATAATGTTTTTCGCTTCTGCGATTGACCCTCTATCACAGCTTTATCGCGAGTCTCATTGCTAGGCTTTGGTTTCACAACTTGAACATATATTTTTTCCTTATCGAATACCCTGTCCATCATGGCTAATCAAAAATTCTTTCAATAGTTGAACGATGACCTTCCTTTAATGGTACAAGGCGTATTCTCAGAACAAATCGATGCACAAATTCAAGCAACAACCAAATTCAGAAAGTTACTTTCAAAGGAGAGAAACCCTCCTATTGAAGAAGTTATTAAGACTGGTGTCGTTTCACGATTTGTCGAATTCCTTCGTTCTCCTCATACACTTGTACAATTCGAGGCAGCATGGGCTCTTACAAATATTGCATCTGGTTCTGCTCAACAAACCCAAGTTGTCATTGAAGCTGGTGCCGTTCCAATTTTCGTCGAATTACTCGGAAGTCACGAACCAGATGTTAGAGAACAAGCTGTTTGGGCTTTGGGAAATATTGCTGGTGATAGCCCATCATGCAGAGATTATGTTTTGGGTTGCGGTGCTCTTAAGCCTCTCCTCGCCCTCTTGGGTGACAGCAGAAAATTGAGTATGCTCCGTAATGCTACCTGGACTCTTAGCAACTTCTGCCGCGGAAAGACACCACAACCTGACTGGACCACCGTAAGGACTCCTACTCTTCACCCTTTATTATGCTAAGACTTACATTTACAGCAGATCTTACCCGCTCTGCCAGTTTTGGCTAAACTTGTTTATTCTTTGGATGATGAGGTTTTGATTGATGCTTGTTGGGCAATTTCATACCTTTCCGATGGCGCCAATGATAAGATCCAAGCTGTCATCGAAGCCGGTATCCCTCGTCGTCTCGTGGAATTGTTGATGCACGCCTCTACCTCTGTTCAAACTCCTGCCCTTCGTTCTGTTGGAAACATCGTCACTGGTGATGATGTTCAAACCCAAGTTATCATCAACTGCGGTGCTCTCCCAGCCTTGTTGTCTCTCTTGAGCTCAGGAAAGGACGGTATTAGAAAGGAAGCCTGCTGGACCATCTCCAACGTCACTGCCGGTAACTCCACCCAGATTCAAGCAGTTATCGATGCCAACATTATCCCACCTCTCATCCACCTCTTGTCCAACGGTGACCTCAAGACTCGCAAAGAAGCTTGTTGGGCAATCTCCAATGCTACCTCCGGTGGTCTTCAAAAACCAGAACAAATTCGTTACTTGGTTAACCAAGGTTGTATCAAACCACTTTGCGATCTTTTGGCCTGCCCAGATAACAAGATTATTCAAGTCGCTCTCGATGGTCTTGAGAATATCTTGAAGGTTGGTGAGATGGATAAGGATGCTGCCGGAGAAGGAACTGAAAGCATTAACCGATACGCTTTGTTCATCGAGGAATGCCATGGTATGGAGAAGATTCACGACTGCCAAACCAACGCAAACGAAGAGATCTACATGAAGGCATACAACATGATTGAGAAGTACTTCTCTGATGAGGAAGAGGGTGCTGATGATGGTCAACCACAAATTGCTGGTAATACCTTCGGTTTCGGTACTAATGGAGAACAATCTGGTAACTTCAACTTCGCCAATGGTGGGGATTCGATGGATATGTAAACTCTTTAAAGAGTCAACAAATCCTCTAGCTTTTAGCTATTCTTTCTATCCAGAAAAATCCTCTAATACGACTTCTAATAACAAATTGACATTGTTGTCATGAACAACAGATCGGACCTTAAAGTTCTGGCACCGATACTACTTTTCAATCTGCGACTGCGAATCAAAAACACGTCAAATTTTTATCCACCCTAAAGCACATTTTCCCCTCACGATGTGACCAACGATCAGCGAAAGATTCACCATCATGTATTTCCCCTTTCTTACCGTTTTGAAACAACCCCGGCACATCAAAGGCGTTTTTGCTTACTCTTTCTACGAGGGGTTTTTAACTCGTCTGTTTTTTCTCTTCCCCAAATTCAAAGTTTTTGCGACATCGAGACATGGTAGCTTGAAAGCGACATGGTTCTCTCCCGGAGTTAAGATGAATGATTTTTTATGCAAGTGACACGTTAGTATGATACGATGTGATATGAGAATGGTAGCTTGAAAGCTCCTACTCTGAATGAGATGATGTGATAGGGTTTGAGATGACTGATGGACCATCTGAATGGACAGGCATATTATGATGCCATTCATGTAGGGGGTAAATAGAATTCGTGTCTGGGAGGAAACGACGAGAGAATGGAGGAGGTGGTGGTGGTGGATAACATAACATAACATCACAAACAAGATATCATATGAATAAATGGTTGATTGACTATATTTGATTGATTTTTTTGTATGTGATTTTGATTGCGATAGTAGTCATGTTTGTGATGTTGAATGGTATCTAGGTAGTACGTCATAGTTACTAGTTATACAACTCCCATCGAGCTTCGCAACTTGCATCTTGCCCCGCTAGAAATATGAAAGAGGTGAGTGCATTATCATCATGATCATCATAAAATTTCATTTTCTTCGTTCTCTATACACATGCCTAGACCTAAACCTAAACCTGACCTTGACCTATTCCTGCGCCTATGTATGTATGCACATACAAGAATTCTTGAGAATAAGGAGAGAAACTAAAAGAAAAGGATTGTTCTTCGTCAACTCTATCTGTCTGTATCTCTGTCTCTGTTTGTAGGTGGTACTCTGTCTGTCTGTCTGTCTGTCTTTTTGTCTGTCTGTCTCCAAGCGCGTCTACATTGTCTGTCCGACCACCCGCCAACTCGACGCCAACTCGACGCCGTAATGTGATTTTGTTTAAATATCATGCTCGTGCCGCTGTGGAGATGAAGAGGAGGGAAAATGGAGAAGAGGAAAAACGGGTACGAAGAGGAAGATATTGAAATGAGAAACAGATGCCCGGATCGACAACGGAAAATATTTTAGTCTTCTGATCCTCATCTTCATCTTCATCCCCAATGTCGCCCCAAATGCCTGGACAGGCTGGACCGAAGCAAAGCAGATAATTCAAAGCACCTCTCTAAACCACAGCTTCTTCATCGATCCCCCCATTCTTCTTGATAACCTTATCCGCCTCCTTCTCAAACTCCTTTAGCACTTTCGCTTCCGAACTCATACTTCTACTCCCATCCCCCTCTACCCCCCTATGATTATCCGCCATGCCGCTATCTCTTCTTCCTTCCGCTAAACTCGTGTTATCAATCAGATCCCGCGCGCGATCTGAGAGTCCAACGATTTTATCCTGTTCTTCGAATCGATCGACGACCTTACTCTTACCCAGCTGTCTCCGTTCTTCCTCGCTTGTTTTTCCGCTGCCAAAGACGCGGGCCAGCTCCGCGCATGCTTCTTCGTAGCAGCGATCTGCGGCTTCTGGGAATTTGAGGGGATTGGGTTTTTTATCGAAGGCGTGGGGGACGCAGTTTATCAGGCCGCCTTTGACGGATTTGCCGACTGCGGAGGAGGAGAGACGTTCGCCAAAGGCGACACCTTCTGCGTTTAGCATGTCGTATTCGCAGGTGTAGAGGACGATATCTTGGGGATAGGCGTCGCGGAGAAAGCCATCTGTGGCTGCTGCCGGGGAAAGATAGGGATCGCGGAGATCGATGGAGTCGATGGGATTCATGTAAGATTGGTCGAAGAGACGGGTGAGCATTGGAGGGAGGTTCTTTTCTGGGGCGGGATTTGTAGCACGTTTTTCGTCGCGGGTTTGACGGAAATCGGTAGGAGGGTAGAAGGAAACTATGGCGCGGAGAGTGAGGTCGGGGAGTTCTTGGGCGATTTCCAGAGCGGTAGGCTCGAGGGAGGGGATTTTGGCAATGGATGTTGTGGATTGGTTTCGGCTTTGAGATTCGCCTTGATATGGATTGGGGCGGAGATGTGAAGTGAGTGAACTTGATGATGCGGCCGCGGAAGAGTCGTATTTTACTTTATCGAGATCTTGTCGACTCACATTTGTAGAGGGCGTTCCGTCCGCGTGTGTAGTTGCACTTGTCAAATCTGCGAGTGTACGTTTGCCCGCATCTTGTCTTAAATCGTGCAGCATTAGTGGAACTGTGAATGCAAAGTTTCCACCGGCGCTGAACCCAGATAGTGCCATTCGATGGGGATCTAATCGTAATTCTTCTGCGTGTGCGGCTAGATATATGACGGCATCGGTACCATCTTCGACTCCTACACTAAATGGATATTCCGGCGCAAGACGATATTCCACACTGACGAATACCGCATCGACTGTATGAATAACCGCAGAAGCCCATCTCGCATCATCGGTTCCTGTTCCCAAAGTAAACCCTCCTCCGTGGTAATTTACTACGACGGGGAATCGACGTTGATCTTCATCTGATCCTTCGATATATGATTGTGGAACATAGAAAATGAGGTTGAAATATCCCCCACGGGGACATAATCTTGAGGGGATTCGAATTTTGAAATTAGGAGCTGGAGGCTTGGGATCTGCGAAATGATGAAATTTCATTCCAATGGCCATAAGGCCTCGCCATATTGTGGCTTTCATACTTAAAAGCCAATTGGAATCTGAATCTGAGTCGTAATATTCGTTTGGCATTAAAGAGTCCTCTTTCAAGGACGAGGGGGAAAGATTTGAGGTAAGATTTGAGAGAGATAAGATACCGAAATGGACGTCTTGGATGTTGCGAAATGGAAAGAGATATTAATGTAAATACTCTCTGTGAGAGAGACCCAGGTAGATCTCGAAAAACTAGACGTCGGTGGAGTTCAAGACAAGAGTTGATCAGAAGTTAGAATGGCTTGGATGATGATATTTGTGGATAAAGATCAAGGGTTCAAGGATTTGTGATGTTGATATACGAGTAGATGGTGAGCACTGAGCACTGGGCACTGATGAGATGAGGAGTGAGGAGTGGAGAGCGAAGAGTGAAGAGTGAAGAGAAAATGAATAGTAAATTATTGAAATGTTGCCGGCTTTATTATTCTTATTACTATGTTACTGCGCCGGGTCTTCTATTTTGGTCAAAGGCGTAAAGATGTGAGGTGTGAGGTGGGTGATATTTGTAACAAGTTGGGCATGTCACTGGGGTATGTCACTTGGATATCTGTACCTGTACTGCACTTCCCTTCCTACATGATCATTTCCTCATCCGCATACACGCATAGAAGAAAATGATTTGAATTGATTTGAATTGGTTCTTTTCTCTTCTTTTCTATTTCAATACGATGTACTTATCTCATGTTTTTAAGCTTTGCCCGTCGACCGCACACATGCCAGGGATCCAATTCGTGGGAAATCCAGAGAGAGGGAAGAAATTGATTCTTGGAGGGGAAAGAGTGAGCCGTGAGTTCTGGATTGGAGTGAAAGACGTCATTGTTGTCAAATGGTCTAGGTTCTAGGTCGGGGCTGTGCCAGGTGAGAGGTTGTAGTCATCAATGCAAAGATGTCTGAGAATTGTGGTGTGATATTTTGAATGTTTTCAATGCTTTCACGTGTTGAGGTTGAGACGCGTGGCCAGAGAGAATGCAACAAAGACAATGGAGATAAAAGACACGTGATTCATCAACACATGACAAAGGAAATGTCATCAATGTTACTCCGCTGGTCCTCTGGGAGCCACTGCCGTGGGGGCTTTCTCGCTTTGCTCGAGAACTAGATCTGAGAGAGTCGATATATATATTCACCTGTTTATGTTACTGGACCACGTGAACAATGAAATGTCTTGAGTTGACAGAGCAAGCAAGTGAAACCTCCAAATAACCAGTTTGATAAAGCCACAATCTTGGCAGGTACGGATCTCCATAGTGATGAGTGTGTCATGTCATGTTATGATTAGAATTGATAGTCCGTCTCTCTCGCCATGATTTACCAACTTCGTCGAGTATATCTCGCTCGGTGAGGTGTAGTTGTACATCGTACACCCTGGAGGCGAGAAAAGGAGTCCGGAGATAATTGTCCGCATTATTTGGACGGGGGTTGTGGCTTGTGGCTGATCTATCTGTGGCAGTGACGCAAAGGTACATTAATCATGGAGAAAGAAGCTTGGCCAAGGATTAGCTGAAAATTGAAGGAGATGTGAACAATAATACCATGTGCTTCCCTTGTATCATATTCCCACTCTCGAGCCACTTCGTGAGTGACCTGACAGTGCAGAGTCTGATAGGTAAGGGAAGATCAGCCACTTCATTCTCTTCATACAATTTCCATTCTTACCTTACGAGTCACCACCCATCCCGGAGTCGAGTACGGCGCAGAAGATTGGTCGAGTCTAGAACTGCATCTTCCACTGACGAGGAATCTTCGTTCCAAAATCGATAATGGTGCGGTAAGACATGCGTCTTTTACTTGAATTCCATGATAGGGACCATTCGACCCCGAGATCCAGTTATTCTCATGTCTCTTTTTGACCATGCAACCGATGTAACGGCCACCTCCCGATGTTGATTCCAATCAAACACCAAACAAACAAGGATAATTCCAAGTAGTTTTTTGGTATAGTCAACATTGGTGAATCCACACTTCTCTCTCCCGCGGCTACATTAATGAAGAAGGATGAAAAGAGATGCCATTAGATGTCCTTTGCGTTGTTTTGTCTCAGTTTACTATCTTGTCTTGGGTCTTTCTGACTGTGACTTCTGTGCGAATCTCTCTGCGTTTCATTGCATGCATCCATCTTTTGAGCTGTGACACTTCTATTCATGATACAGTGACGAACTCTGACATCATAGTAATTTTGAGTGGCCCCTCCAAAGCCAAACTTCCCTCAGAACAGCCAACTAATTGATCAATGCATACCCAGTAGAGGGAGAAAGGTATGAACTAAAAGATTGATTCATCGAAGTTTTTCTATTTATTCACGTCCCAAATCATCGAATTGCATCTGGATGAATACCAAGAAGGGCTTGGACTGAGGAATTCTTCGGCAGCTAGATTGGATTGGGCATCAGATAGAGTTTCCCATCGTAAGTGTTCATCATAAGCTTTGAAGCCTTGCATATTGATGCTTGGATTGGGAACGCCCTGGTCCCCTCCAAGTTTTGGGGCTTTTTCCTACGGTCTGATTGATCTCACCAAGATGATAAGAATAAATATAAAAATAAAAATAAAAGAAAACCTAAATTTCTTTTATTGCCGTCCTCTTCCTCTTTCTCTTCCTCATCAAGAAGGGATATCAAATACAAGTTTGAGATCGACAATAAGAGGATCCCATCTATCTTGCAATCCTCTTCTCTTTCTCTTCCTCTTCCACTATTTACAAAAACAAACACAATCCTCCCATATTCCCTATCACCCCGCATACCAACCTCTTTACTTTTCTTTCATCAATCACCAATCAAAATCCAACGAGATCCAACGTCAAGGTTGACTCGACAATCACCATCATCGAAAGAGAAAGAGAGAGAGAGAGAGAGAGAGAGAGAGAGAGCTTATTCTCCAATCTCACTCCGTAATTCCGGCTCTTCCGTCAGCAGCTAGCTTTGACTCAACACCCAGCTAATAAGTGCCGACGGTGTATGGTTAAATACTTCCAAACACATCTCTCGGTATTAATCATCGTACTGCAGTTGGATCTGCAACTTACTCGCGTAGAAATTTTAATATCTATCTAATCAGCTTCCGTTCAACTTTCGACAGAAGACAGAAAACACACAAAAACACATTCTCATCATGTCGGCCCTCAAGAAACGCCTCAGTAAATTGATACCGGATCGCATCGGGAAAAGTAATAGCAATAGCAACAATTCGAGCAACGAAAATGTTCCACAGCTTGCAGATGGAGTTGAAGGTTCCTCTGGATCCAATGGACCTTTATCAAGCACTCCTCAAAACAATGGTGCTCAAACGCCAGAACGATCAAACTCCCGACGAGTGAGTCGAGAGGTTCTTGAGCAGAATAAGGCGAGAAGAAGCATGGATAAGGAACGTGTAAAGGCCGAGAATAAGAAGAAGCAATCTCTGGCAAGAATAGAAGACGAGAAGTTCTTAAAAGAAGGCCCGCCAGCTCTTACACAACTTTATCGACCATACAGTATGATTCAAAGTAAACATTGGAGACATGAGGAGAGAGCTTTATTCAAGAACATCAATTGGGCTGGTAAGTTGGCATTGTCTTACTGCATACTTTCCGTCTGCTAATACTCGAATAGAAATGGATGGACAAATCATTAGTTTCAGAGCTCGAATGCATACTTTGCGAAGAATGTCTGCCAAATTGGTATTTATCGTTTTTCGCCAACAGACTATGACAATTCAGGGAGTTTTGCAAAGCTTCAAACCTGAAGAAGAACAAAATGGTAAGTTTCATTGCGACAATTGCTATGAGGGACACATCTGATCCGATTTATTTTGCAGAACATGGTACAATCTCCGAACAGATGGTTAGAACTGTCGAACATTACCCCGCCGAAACGATCGTCGTTGCTCATGCCAAAATCCGAAAATCCCTCCAAACTGTTAAGAATGCTACAGTTCATGATTACGAATTGCAAGTTTACGAAATCCACAGAGTAGTCCCATTGACCGAAAATGTACCATTCACAGTCTACGATGCAGAAAACATCAACAGAGAAAAGGAAGTTGACATGGATGATGATTCTGGAGATGATTCGGTTGCAGCAAGTCAGCCAATGTCGCCAATTTCAACAGACACACCAAGAGGTCCTCCTTCTCGTGCTTCTACTGATCTTGCACGTAATGCTTTTGCAAAATTGGATGAGAAGAATTTGGAGAGCAGAAGTAAGTTTCCTTCTCTGGAATTGTAAGATTTATAACTAATGCCAAAATAGCTTCCATGGATACCGGTCATCACCAAAAACGATCCCTCCCACAAAGAGTGAGATTGAACAACAGAATTATCGATTTGCGAACAACTCCAGCACAGGCAATCTTCCGTATCCAATCTGGAATTTGCAACCTTTTCCGATCATATCTCGACACCCAAGGCTTCATTGAAATCCATACACCAAAACTACAAGGAGGTGCTACTGAATCTGGTGCAACCGTCTTCGAGCTCAATTATTTTGGAAGACCTGCTTTCTTGGCTCAATCCCCACAATTGGCTAAGCAAATGTGTATCGCAGCTGATTTCGAGAGAGTCTATGAAATTGGTGCGGTTTTCCGTGCCGAAGATAGTAACACACCACGTCATTTGACCGAGTATACTGGATTGGATCTCGAGATGGCTTTGGAAGAACATTATCATGAGGCCTTGACTCTTATTGATGGTATGTTCAAGAACCTCTGGAAAGGAATTTACGACCGATATCAAAAAGAAATTGATCTCATTGACCAATTTTATCCACATACCAAGGTCGAATGGCTGGACGAGACTCCCAGAATCCCATTCTCTGTCGGTGTTAAGATGTTGGTAGATTCGGGCTGGGTTGAAGAAGATGGAAGTATACCATCCGAAACCGAGGATCTCTCTACTCGAGCTGAGATTCGATTGGGTGCGTTGGTTAAGGAAAAGTATCACACTGATTACTATATCCTCGACAAATTCCCTGCTTCTGTTCGACCATTTTACACCATGCCTGATCCAGAAGATGACCGATTCACTAACTCTTTCGATATTTTCATGCGTGGTCAAGAAATTTTGACTGGTGGTCAACGTATTCACGATGCTGAGTTTTTGGAAAAGCGTATGAAGCAAAAGGGTGTCAAGCCAGAAAGTATGTCTGAATATCTTGAAGGTTTCAGATGGGGAGCACCACCTCACGCAGGTTGTGGTATTGGTCTTGAGCGTCTTACATACCTTTTTCTCAGTCTTGGCAATATTCGACTTGCATCTCTATTCCCAAGAGATCCCAAATCCCTTCCAGCTGTACCTCCTACTCTGGTCCTTCGTCACGAGGATGCATCAACACTCCACCCGATATGGGAACAAGAAGGAAAGGAATTCACACCCGAATTACTTCCACCTCTGGAGAAGTTAATTGCCAATTATGGTGATGCAGCCAATACCTCTTGGTTAGACAAGCGCTATCACGTATGGAGACATTCGACTACTGGTGCAGCACAAGGTTATGTCATCCATAACTCGTATGCCATTATTGTTGGAGAGCCTCTTTGCGACAAATCTCAAACACCAGCCATCGTTTCTGCCTTCCTCAATTACTTGACTACCGAACATAAGAATCTGAAGCCAATTTGGATGATTATCGGTTCTCGTACCGAAGAATATCTTGGTGAAAAGTTCGGTTGGCGTACTTTGTCTCCGGCAGCCGAAGAACGTGCTGATCCTCGAAATAACCCCGCGGCTAAGGATAATGACTTGGCACGCAAAGTTCGTCATGCTGAAAAGGAGGGTATCAAACTTCAAACTCTTCCATTCAATGAACCAGTTCCAGATGACTTCAAAGAGAAGGTAAACGCACGAGTTCAAGATTGGCACAAGAACAGGAAGGGTACCCAAGTTCACCTTACAGAAATTAGACCTTGGGTTGATGAGGCTCATCGTAAATACTTTTACGCTCAAGGTCCCGATGGAACTATTCACGCCATTAATGTTCTTCATCAACTCAGTCCTGAAAATGGATACCAAGTCAAATTCTCCCTCGAATTCCCAGGTGCTCCATCTGGTACTGTAGAATCTCTTCTACTTTACTCAATGAAACAATTGAGTGCAGCAGAACCAGATGTCAAACGTATCACTTTTGGTACTGGTGCTCAACCACATATTGAAGGTGGAAGAAACTTGGGCAAACATAGAATTAAGGCGTTGAAGAAGGCTTATGAGACAATTGTTAAGCAGGCAAGATTATTGGGCAAGAGTGAGTTCAGAGAGAAGATGGGTACATGGAATGATGGAATTTATGTTGCATATCCTAAGGGTGGTTTGGGTGCCGGTGGTATTAGGGCTTTGATGGGTTTCCTTGAGGAAGATGGTTAGATTTCTAACCATGGAAATTCTATGTGTAGATGCGAAGGTGTGAGATGGGGGAGATTGTGTGCCTGCGAGGAACTTATAATTCTTAAGCAGAAGAAAGTAATTTCGTGAAGTGCGTTGGATGACTGGGCTGGGAGATGGATGGATGGCATGGATGGATGGGAAAGATACCTACATTGCTTTATTTGTTACTCACTAGGGTTATTTTCTTTGTTACCTTTCATTAATTGTGTGCCATCGATTGAGTCGATAGTAACTAACCGAAGGAAATTGTAAATAGAATATAACAGATACACTAATAGATGAATCAACGTGTATTACAAAGTCAACATAGTCAGCTAATTATTCAATCCATTGTCTGAACCTCAATCCAAATCAACACCAATACCTACTTACCTACCTACTCCTCTCCATCCTACCCAACCTTCCACATACGAACAAAGAACTCAGCACGTCGGGTAGGTAAGGAATGAAATCTCATAGCCTATGCCTATCGAACAAAAAATGAAGATAGAAGAGCCCGCATCGCCTTCTCGGTAATCGGATTTTGACGTCGGCGAACTGGGGAGAAGGGGTATTTGTGGTCGCCTATTAGTATACCCGTGCCAAGAATTGTAGCCTCAGGATGATGGTGAGGGTGGGCAGGAAGTGTAAGCACGATGCAGGTGTACATGAATGCGACGAATGGGTGGATGAATTTTTGGATGGGTTTTTGTATGATTGATAGGGTTGAATTGGGGGGATTGGGGGGATTGGGGGGTTATTTTTGTGTGTAAGTTGTATGTGTGGGTAATTGATTATTCGACATGTCACTTCTTTTTTTCTTCTTTATATGTTTTTTTTTTCACGGTTAGGTATGCTGATGATTAATTATGAATACATGAATGGGTGAAGATTGAGGTATGTATGAGTAGTTTTACGATGGGTTTGATGTGCATTGAAACCTGTCTGTACTGTACTGACTACAGATGCTGACGCGAGACAGGTAAATAGGCATTGGGCTTGTCAGACCAGATCGGATCGGATTGAGAAGGTTTTTGATGCGGGGAAGCGAGATTGATTTGATGGGGAGGGGAGTGTGGAAAGGGGAGTGTGGGAAGAAAAGTGTATAAAGAGGGGGGAATGAGGGGATGAGATTTGTTTTCGGTGTCTGAGATTGTGTTTCTTTGTTGGAACTTGGAAAATACTATCTGGGTAGGCAGGTACTTATTTGTTTGTGTGGTTTTGTATACATATATACATACATACATCGATACTCAAAGAGAACTAAATACACGATTAATTCCTAATTGCTTCTCATTTCCGGTATCCAGAACAATCAACATCTAACATAACATCATCAATCAATCATGCCATCCACCCCCCTTTCTCACCCTCTCCCCCAAACCATCAAAGCCCTCCTCCAACCCGACATCCACAGTCCCAAACTAATCCTCGCCACAATTCCCACACCCGTCGCCACCCCCGGAACCTTCGAACATCTCATCCACGTGCACTCCACCTCCCCCTGCGCAGGCGAACTAACCTGGACCGCCAACCTCTCCGCCTACACTTCTCTCCTCCCCACCCTCTCCCCCTCCTCCGTAACCTCCAAGTTACAAATCCCTTGCTACGACCTCTCCGGAACCGTTCTTACCGCTCCCCCAAATTCCCCTTTCCCCCCAGGCACAGAAGTCTACACACGAACTTCCTTTTCCCGCCCCGGAAACGCACGCGCTTACACCATCGCGCTCACATCCGAACTCGCGCGCAAACCAAACAATCTTTCCTGGGAAGAAGCAGCTAGTGTACCACTTAGTGCATTTACGGCATGGCAGGCATTGTATGTACATGGGGGTATGCGCTGCGTGTATGCGCTTGATGCGAAGGTTGCGAATGGGGGGAAGACGGTGTTGATTAATGCTGCGGCAGGGGGGTAGGGACGTTACTTGTGCAGTTTGCGAAGGCGGGGGGATAGGAGAGGTGATTGGGGTTTGTTCTGCGGGGAATGTGGAGATGGTGGGGCGGCTGGGGGCGGATGTGGTGTTGGATTATGGGAGGGAGGGCGTGGGGGCGTGGGGGGAGAGAACGGGGAGGAAAGTTGATTTGGTGGTGGATTTACTGGGGGGAGAGAGTTTAGTGCAGGCGTGGAAGGTGGTGAAGAGGGGGGGAGGGTGGTGAGTGTTAAGGAGGATCCGAATAAGTGGAAGCCGAACGAAGGAGTGGCGGATGATGTAGAGGGGAAGTTTTTTGTTATGGAGCCGGAAGGGTGGCAGTTGGAGGAAACTGCTAAGTTGATTGAGAAGGGTCAGGTGAAGGCTACGATTGATAGTGTGTGGCCTTTGCGTGATTTTGAAAAGGCATTTGCTATTGTTGAGGGAGGCCATGCAAGAGGGAAGGTTATTATTAATGTCAGGGACTCAGAGTGAGGGAGGGACAGAAAGACTGATGAGAACTTTCTGGGATTTGAAGATATTTTGATTCGTACAAACTTGAAAAGAGCATGGGAAATCTACTCGTTATTGTCAAATTTCTACACACTTGAACATAATAACAGGATACCTAATCAACCATGTAAGCCATTCCAAAGAGGACAATAGACTTCCCAGCGAATATCAACGCTAATAGCTGAATAATCGCTCATTCAAGTATACCCATACTTCGCTTCACAGCTCCCTCTTCCCTCCCTGTCATGAACTACTTCAGCACTTCTTCCAATGATATACCACCTCACTGCCATATCTGACTAGGCATACAGAGACCAATTTGAGAAAAGCCACAGCCGCCATTCTCACCATATTTCTTTTTGACAACATGAATACCTCAAATACTAAGAAGTAACTATAGATATCCACAGAAGGGGCCAGTGTGAAGAAAGAGATATGATCATTAGCACGATATAAATATTCAATTCCATCCATTCCACGCCGTATGAATGGCTAAACAATGCCACACATTTCGTATAGATAAACCAGAAGTAACCAACCAGTAACATGCCAGTACTTTTACGTGATCAACCCGTACTATCCCGTTCTTACAAGCGAAGTTATCGATTTACGCAATTCAAATTGACACTCCGTAAATCTGGCTATCTTGAGATATGAATCCACGATCCGGAAGTGACTCTGGAAGATTGTATGATTTGTGTTTTATTATGCGATTTTGTTGGAGCTGTGGGTTGGATAGTGAATGGAATTTCTGTGGTGGCTTGGTGTATTCATAGGCACTGACCTGAGGATAATTGAAACCTGCATGTGATGGCATCTTCCCGAATGTTCAGCTAAATAAGTAACAAGTAGGCTATTGTGGACAAGAATGATAGTGAATTTGAAAATCTGTGTGAACGTAAGTGAATGACCTCAAGTTATCAGGCTACTGTAGTACACTAATCGAGAGGGCTAGCCTCAATATCCAAGGATTGCTTCTTCCTGTACTGTATACATAGTTAGCTTTTTAGATATAATGTAATATTGACAATTAGGATTTACAGTGTAGATGCTACATCATTGGGTCTCTTCTCGTTCCAACAAGATTCGAAGCAAGATTCGAAACCAAAGGGCAAATGATTGACCAAGAAACAACCCCCCAACCCCCAATAATTCAGCAGCCAATCAATCTGAAGAGTAAACCGAGAGCTAAATGCTCGTAGGTCTTTGGGAGCGACGAAGCGAGACTCTAGGGGTAGCTCACACCTTCAAAGTCACCGCAGCACACTGTTCTTCCGGTAAAAATGCGAAATCTGAAATGTCTAATGCGCTGGGTTATATCACTAATGTTGCGGCGTCGAAATGATATACTCTACAGACCCTATTTGATACATTAGGAAAGAGTACCATTCAGTACCTACTTCATCTACTATCTTTCAAACAGATTCAGGATTCAAAAGACAAGATCATAAACTTACAAAATCAAGAGATTAACAAACATAACGCTATATCATCTAAGAAGAAGTTTGAGATATTTAAGAATTTCAAATAATCAGTTAGAAAAATACATACTTCAAATTTCCCTGAAATGTGTAATAGGATCGATCATAGTTCCAAACGTACTTGAATCACTGAATCAACTTGAAAGATTTTAAATGATATTTGTAATCTTTTGAATGTTTATTATTAATAGTTGATGAATTTAGATAATATTTTTAGATTGTTTCAAATATTATATCCAATGTTATCAAACGTATTTATACTGCAAATACTACCTTTCATATAACACCAGCTGCTAATGGTATTTCATATATTACCGGCTAGTTTTCATGTCGGCTATCAAATACTGTCTTGGTCGTTCGACTGATTAAGCGAGGTTTTTAGTTTTCATGGTGGCTTTGGACTACTCAATTCGGATTCGGATACGTGTGTTTGTGTTTTAAATGAAATGATGAGTCTATATCATCTATTTTATATTGACACGTTGTATATTTTGAAACATTTATGATCATCACCAGAGCAGAGGGCTTAGGGAAGCAGACGGATAAATGTTTCATCTTCATCTGGAGATAATCCCTCATATTTCTTCTCTCTGCAAATTCTGCCTTGATCTATAAATTCGCGTTTTCTGATCGCGAGCTTGGAAATTTGGACACGTCCAATCCACATTAGTAAAATATCTGTAGAGTGACTCGTCCCAAAACAGTATCACCTACGAAGTAGTTCTTGAAATCGTCGATAGAATCCCACCAGCTGATCTGAAGGTTGGATCCATCTCATGCAACTCCTGATCATTGTCAGCTAACCGCTTCATATATTCTTCTCTTCTTTCCCGTGGCTTAGGCGACACGCACGGTCCTGCATTCTTGCCAAAATCATATTAACCATCGTCTTCTACTGAGGCACTGTAGACATATAAGGATCGGATTTGATAAAGTCGAACTGCGTAAGTCTCTTTCCGCCATAGTACCAAGTTATTGAAGATTCATGGAGTCTAAGCGTGTAAATGAAGACGTGGTATTCTTCAATATGAAGATGAGCTTACCAAGCACTGGCGCCACCATCTGGAGGCACCGAGGAAGAATGATGAAGAGTGTTTATAGGTAAAAAGAGTGATATGCCGTATTTACATGCTTCGCCGGGGTCAGTTTTATAGCGTGAAGTAAAAGTGATTGTTGACAATTCGGGTCATGCTATAAGCAGTTTCGAGTGCTACGTACCTACGCCTTTGGCAAGGAAGCCTTTCTATCGACTTGTTATGATTTTATAAACGAGTCTCTTATTGTGTATACAATAAGGTTCCTCATTCACCAAGGTAACAATATTTGGGCTGAGAAACAGCTCAGTAGAGTGTTGATTGGAGATGCCATATCTTGAACACGATTGTAATAAAGATATTTTGGTCCATCATGTATCTGGATTGAAATGGTAATTGAAAACTTCTCACGACCAAGAAAGTATCCAAATCTGTGAATGCGCTCCCCTTGAATTCCTGAATGTCCCGAACTAATCACACGAATATGATACATCGAACAAATTAAACGCAAAGCCACAATCCTAACCGTGTGATTTTTCATCATACGATGAGCCAAGGCTACAGCTGAACTGATGTTGTACAAAACCTGTCTTGAAAACAATCACCTAGCGAATAAGATTTTCGGTAAACATTTGAACCATGCATTCTGTCATTTTCGTGGGGTTGGGCTGGAATGTTGCATATCAAGATGATGACATCGTATGATTCACATACATCTCCAAGACATATTCTCAATAGTCAGCTGATTTAATTCCAGAAACTTTCAAAATCTCAAATTGCCCGGAGAGATGGGAAAAGCACATGAGATTCTCCCGGTTATTTTCATGATCGTATGTGGCGATGCGTTCGAAAAAATCCTGATATTTCGTCTCGAATCAATCAATTGAAATCTATTAGCAGCTTTGTGGCTTTGATTTTTCTGAACGTCACACATTGTGTAGCAAGGCATCTTACATATCAAAGCGAGAAATCCACCAGAACAATTCGTATAATCATATCACAACCAAAATGGATACTATAATCAAGACCTTCGCGCCGATCGCGATAAAGGAAGTCACAGCTTATCTTTCGAAGAAAGCCACTTCTCCATCGACCGAATTAGCAAAGGCAGCATACGAGGGTAATACAAGCGCAGTCAAAAGTATTCTTTCCCAAGATCATCAGATAGATATGGCACCAGCACTCGTCGCGGCTAGCAGTGCAGGAAAAATGGAGATTCTTGATATTCTCATTGATCCTCCGCGTCGTCCACGATCAGAAAGTTCCCGCCACAAGGATATAGTAAAGAAAACAGATGTGAATGTGTGGTCGCAACATATTACGCCTCTGATAGCGGCAGTACAAACACATCATGTGAAAACAACTAATTTATTGCTGGAGGCTGGAGCTGACACTTCGATGGCACCAAAAGGTGGAGAGACTGTTCTTCATATCGCAGCGAGGATTGGAGATTTGGAAATGGTGAAGCTTTTGGTAGATTATGAAGCGTATTTGGAGGCCAAAGACGGTTGGGGTAATACGCCACTCCTTTCTGCATCTAGATGGGGCCATCCGCACACAATCAAATATTTGTTAGCAAAGGGAGCAGATATTGAAGCTAGGGATATGAAGGGCTCTACAGCATTGTTGTTGGCGTGCAGACACGACTGTGTTGAGGCTGTGAGAGTCTTGGTTAATAGTGATGCAAATGTGAGAGTCAGGGACAAAAAAGGAAGAGGTCCATTACATCGAGCGATCGCTGGAGTGGACTTTATTGATGGAGTACATGCCAAAGTGAAGGAACATATGGTAAGATTATTAATAGATTCAGGTGCAGATCCAAAGGCGAGAGATAAGGAAGGAAAACGACCTGCGGATATGGTTGGAATCTTAAGAGGTGGAGATGGGGTGAGGCGTCTGTTAAGCCCCGGAAGCGCACCGCATTCTAGAGAAAGAACGCCTGGACACAGTAAACACGGAAGTCGGACAGGATCTCCCTATGGTGATAGATCTCGACATTTTCATGAGCCTAGCCACCATAATTCTAGGAAAGATCAACATCTGTCGCCTTTAGCTGGTGATATGATGACCGGCTATGATCGGGACTAAAGCATGGCATGAATAGGAGTTCCTGATGCTGAACGATTGATTTATCAAAGCTTGACGGGAGAATGTAAGATAATGACTAGTGTGTATCCTGTTTCGACGAGAGCATTTTAGGGTTGCAATTTGGGATAATGGTCATTCAAATTCTTCAACTAACTATTTCAGTGATTGACATAAGGGAAAACATAGATGTTCTGGAAATAGTGATGAAAACACGTTACAAAGAGTATCAAAGCCCAATGTAGCCATGCAAAAGAAATTATGCTGGAAGGATTGAGGCAGAGTAAAAATGTACGAACAGTTATTTATTTCTTGCCAAGCATCTACTGCAATTGAATGTGGAAGTTACGCACCACTGAAGCTGTTAACGCTTAACCATTTGAGAGGGATCCTCCCGATTTCCCTACACAAAACAAGCAGATAGTATCAGAATTGATATCTCTGCATGGCTTAAAGATCAAGAACAACTCAGTAAACACTAAATTGTCAATGGGCCATGCGTTTCATTTGCTTCTCAACAATCATACGGGACTTCCCACTTGTGAAGATCTCAAAATCCACACATCTCAGCTTGCCCAATGGGCTTCCCAGCTCATCCATTGTTACACCAAATCGATCTACAATCTTCCGCGATGGTGGGCCATTCATTTCTAATTCTTCAACGGGTGGTTGAACAATCAGCATACGCCTCCAACTAGCCTCTTTCCTTCTGACAGCCTCATTTGTAGGTTGTATATTCAACTTAAATCCATCTCGATAATCTATAACGGGCCACTTGCTCCAATCTGCCATCCGTCGACCTCGCGGGTTATGTAAATACCTGCATCGTGTTTGAGTCGATCGTAGGTCTAGGAACTGCGCGTTATGACAAGGTTGAAGGAGAGGATTGGGTCGGGGAAATGATGTATCTGGAGATGCACGAAAGAATAGAGCTCGTTGAAGTAAGTTTGAGGATTCGATGACATCAATAAAGCTTTGGTTAATCATTTGAGCTCGAACAAGATCGAGAAATGGTAGCTGGAGGAGAATAAGTTCTAGAAGTTCAGGGATTGCGAAGACAGTTTGGACTGAGCTCTTCACTGAACATATCGCTGATTCTGCGTCTCTGGCGGATATAGTAATTGCAGAAGGCATATCGAATAACGTACAGAGAACATATTCATCCGAGTTGTTACCTACTTAGGTTCCTATACTGTGATGATCTGGTTTGTTGTTGGAAACAATTTGACCGCGGTCGCAAAAAGTGGTGCAACCTTAACGCAATGGCCGCGGCCTCGCTAGTACCAACAATCACAGCCACATTAAGCCACTCCCATGGAATCCTACAACTTCAGAGTGTTTTGAATTTCCCAACCAATTCGTAAATTTAATCCGTCTTCATATATTTAATGTATCTTTTTACCTAGGGATATATCTTCAGCAACCCTCAGGTCTCGGGTCGTCTCATCTTTCAAAGACAAAAATGTCATCTCAAATTCTGAAACGACGATTGAAAGACCATTGAACATCTATCCCGACCTATTGGTCAGAACAATCAACGACAACAAGCATTTGCCAAGCTGCAATCCCGAGTGTTGCACGAGAGATCTCAAATTTTGAAGTTTCCAAAGATCCGATGACCATCCGAATGTCAGATTCAAGATGTGAAACCATAAAGCTTGTGTATGACATTGACAGTCCAAAGCTTGTATGCGATAATGCTTCTGGATTCCGCACGGTGCAATGTATTGCATAACGCTTTTGCATGAATCTAGTGAAGATCATCGTTGGTATCAAGACTGATTTTTTCTCTCGGGACATGACAGTTATTAGTTTTGGATCAAAGTTGGCTAGGTATAAGAGCCTAGCACCTCACACTCCATACCGTTTCATTTGATATTGTGCCTTACAATATCTAGAATATCACTCCTTCTACGTCTCGAATCTGTACTATACATCGTGTTAGACTTGCATATTGAATATTGAGACCCGATACTCTGTATATACCTTATCTTTCCCCAACTTTCCTTCTTGAATTTGCAATGCCGAGATATTGGAAGCAAATCATCTTGAATTGATTATGTCGAGTGCTCAGGAATTTAACTCGGACTTCGGGCGGTCGATACTACCTCTGTTTCTCCAACCTGGATCTTTAAAATCTACTCTTAATGACGAACTGAGCCTCATAAACTCCAATGCAACATTCGTCACGGCTCAAGAGCCATTGCCAAAGCTAAAGCCGCAGGGACAAATGAGGCTGGACCTTCCAATTCCTGTCTCAAGAGACAAACCTGCTGGATACTACCTTCTTGTTCAACATTCACGATCAGTAAAGAAACAGCCAGAGTCAAAAATTATCAGGCCGCTTCCGGAACTTAAAGGTAGACCAAAATTCGTATTTGGTTGTCTTCCGAATAAGAAACCCCGAGCAGGGCCTCAATACCAAATATCTCCAGCCAGGCCGCAGGATGATATAGAACCACCTGTCAAAAAGCAGCCATTGCAGTCAAAGTTTGGCTATTACCCAAATTATGAAAGGCCACCAGGCTTCATTGAGTCATCGAAACAGCAATCTACACGTACTGTGAAGTTCATGGTCGATGCTCCACCACCTGCTCCGAGAAGAAATCCTCGCGGTCGATATCCCGACTACGAAGTCTCTTGACGACAAATGATCGGAATTCAACGACAGCAACCTGTCACAACCAGAGATCAATCGAACATCAGATTTACCGGCTTAACGAAGTGATAGTTTCTAACTTACTGACTCGGCTTGGAACATCTATTCGACTCGAAAAATCGCCATGCTATCCGATTATATGGCTGGCATGCTGTTAGAAATGCTTATACCGGGAAACCGTTGTACAAACATGTCATCAAAGGTGTCTTTCAAGAGAAGCCTAGATGAATGAAGAGCATCATCGATCGTACAATTGGTTGAGACTTGCTCACCTTCGGATGATATCCGGTACAATGTTCTATGCAATGATGGTAGTCGGACTTTATCTCCGCAGAGAGTTGAAGAGATGGCCCGTTTAGCTGCCGGAAGAGGATGTAAACTAAGATTTGTCTCAAAGTTACCTTTCAGCTATTCGTACACTATCGATCGACAGGTACACTATTTGCCACCCAAGTGCTAGGTTTCTAGAACCTGATCCATCTCTTCTGGCTCCACTATCGACACGATGGATATTGTTCTAAAATGTTAATGAACACATCGCTCCCACCGGTAGTTCATGCATGCATGATGTTCTGCAAATGCATCTTTGCATCTGGGTTCTCCAAATTAAAGAGCAAACTATCGCTAAAAGCAATATATTCCCAACGGGTCAATACGAAGACACTTCCGTACGATCAGATCCGCAACCTTGAGTATGAAGTTGAGATGATACCCACCATATACCCAGGAGGCTTATGACGTCCTCCATCTCTGAGCCAGCTCGCAGCAGATGCAGTAAGGGCATGTCGTACTACCAAAAGCTCCCGAAAATCTTTACAAGTTTTGTCAACTCGAATTTTGATTTTCTCGCTGAAGATAGACGTTCATTCTCCACCGAACTAGGCATTTCAACCACAGAACAGTTCTTGTTCAAAATAAAGCATGTGTAGGATCCGACACCGCCTACTGAACCAACGCAGACCCGTCTTATTTTCGAATTTAAGGGGGCTGGTTGGTACATATGTACCTGTGTGGGGCGAGTGGATAGCTGTTCGCCGTACGTTCATGCCCACGACTATGGTGCATATAACCTCGGAAGGAAGAAATTTGAAAGAAATGAGTTCGAATCGAAGGGAAAGGTGTGATTATCTACCTTGGAAATGATATTATATAAACAATCGAATTGGATTTAAATCAAAATTTGCTTCTTTCTCGTCCACTTGTACGATCTTCCATTATCTGGTACCTACCTGCCGTTTTCTGCCACGAGCTTTTTAGCACCCGTTCCCCTATCTCTAGCCTATCGTGACCCACTCGGGCGCCTTCAACCACCACGTCACGGCCTGAACAGCCTATAATTCAGATAAGATAAGCGAAATCGCGGCTTCGAACAGCTTCACCGGTATTTTTTTAATTGTTCTGCGCTGTGTCAATTAATATTCGTACAACAAATCACAACATCATCCCATTAATTCTTGCTCTGCGGTTTATTGTCCCTGAGACACGGGGAAAAGGGAAATGTCCTTCGAATCCCCTCCCTCCATTACCACATCTCTCCACAACACTCTCCTCCACATCTCACAAAACCCATATCCATACATACCTAATCCACCAAATTGTCCAAGGCGCGCATCAGTAGCTCTAGTATTACGTATTCGTCCTTCTCGCAATGATCTTCCTCCTACAGCTCCTCAAATCTTTCCATATCCAGAACCACCAACGGACCAGCGACTTGCAAATTTCTTTGAACAATCATGGGTGAAGAACGGTGATCCTGAATTGCTATTTATCAAACGCGCAGCAAGAGAAGGGGATCGATGGACGAGTCATGTTGCGCTACCGGGAGGAAAGAGGGATCCTGGTGATGCAAGTGATAAAGATGTCGCAGTGAGGGAAACTAGTGAGGAAATTGGGTTGGATTTAAGGGGGGAAAGATGTGTATATGTTGGGAACTTGCCTGAGAGAGTGGTATCTACAAGCTGGGGATCAGTGCCGTGAGTTACCTTTGGCAGATGGATCTAGATTCACTACGACAAGGCAAGAAATATTAAAGAGAAATTGCTGATGCTGTCTCCGAAACAGAATAATGGTACTTTGTCCATTCCTCTTCATCTGGATCTGTCCAGCATTCCCACCCCTCCAACTACAGCCTGCTGAAATAGCATCAACACATTGGGTTCCCTTACGAGTCCTTCTTTCGCCCTCAGTCCGCACATACGAATATGTCAATGTATCCGATCGATTTGCCAAGCAAGGGGGTGTAGTAGTGAAAACGATACTGAAGCCGATAATTGGCAAAATGAGGTTCTCGGCCATTCGATTACGACCCAGTGAATCACTGTATTGCAGTTCGACGAAGGAATATTTCTCGGAGGAATCGCAACCCAAGAAAAGCATCTTTGAAAGAGCTTATACTTGGTTCAAAGGGGGGGAGAAAGCACAAAGTGATAGACCACTCTTACTTTGGGGTTTAACCTTGGGTATGGTGGCTGATTTCCTCGATCAACTACCACCTCACGATTCGGTTGAGTTATGGGAATATCCTACTTTTACTTCCCCAGATATACGAATCATTATAAATCTGCTTACACGAAATATCAAGAAACGAAATACGGAACGATTACGAGGGAGCGCGCACGATGGGACTGGTAATCAAACAGCAATGGATGGAGAAACAACTGCTGTTGCAATGCTTGAAAGTGGAGGGCCTTTAATAGGAAAAAACAAGACGAAAGAACATGCAGTAGGCGTTATGTTAGAAGGATATTATGATGCAATGAAGAAAGGTGTTTGGATTGGTGCTGGCATAAGATTAATGTCAACGCTGGCGTTGATTTTGTGGCTTGTTAGGTGGTATAGATTGAGGAGCAATAGGGGTAGATGACGATGAAAGGATTTATGACCATGAAGGGATACACCCAAAAGTTTTTCACACATAATACCCAGAGAACAAGTGCTCCATGGCCAGTACCTCGGAGATTCTCATGCATCTTATTTATACCATCATCTTGTAAGTCGAAGTAAACCGACGAGGTAGATTACGAACGTTGATTAGGATAATAATTAGTCGATTAATCGATTTGGGCCGTAGTCCTAATTACACAATCAATGGTGCTATTTCTCATGTCTTTCTAATTACTACCATATGTATGGAAGCGGGGTACGCCCTCGGAAATCAACATGATGTGTCATATGGAAGTTGCTGTTTTCTAAGCGGAAATAAGGTGATAGCAGCGGATTGAAAGAATGGAAGTTTCTTTGGGATGCTGTAGTTATCTATTTTTACTGCAGAACCTCTCGATTGAGCATAGGTGTGGTCTTTTAGCGCATAATAATTGTACAGTTATATCAATCTGGCTACTGTCAACTTGGAGTGCAAATAATGCCAATGAACTGGCGGATCAATAGTTATTTAAAAGTTGCCGTAGCCACCTCCTGGTGTATATGTAGGCTCTCAGATGCGCCATCTATTAAATGCAGTCACTACGGCCAAATATCAACTTCAATTTATTATAAAACATTTCACCTCATTACTTCAACTTCAATTTATTATAAAACACTTCACTTCATTACTTCAACTTCCATTCACCTCAAGCTACCTACAAGGATCCAACAAACAGTATCAAGTCCATTTTATCTTCAGTAAGTTCAGATACCAATATGGCAGGGAAGAAGAAGAATGGAAAGGGAGGTCAAGGTGACGGTGGTGTAAGCAGACTTCCACAAGGAGGTCTAGCTCCTGACGGCCCTGATAGAAACAATATCCCACTTACTACAGACCAAGCTTCTACCGGTTCTATTAGAAGTCAAGCTCCTACTGGTCTTGGTAGAATGGATGTTCAACTCACTACAAGCCAACGACAATTTTCTGCCAGTCATGGTAGAAGTCAAGCTTCTAATAATCCTCTTCCTGCAAATCAACATTCTGGCAATCAAAGTATGACAGCATCCAGTCGTCCGAGTTCTGCTCATTCATCGAATCCTAGTCAACTACAATTTGATGTAGGAAACGGAACAGGTCGAACACTATCCCGCGTCACTGAAAGTAGAAGCTCCCAATCACGACTTACTGCAGTACCAATTGGTCAAGGCCAAGCGGCTCGGGGTTTTCTTCAACTACAATCACAGCACGAACCATCTCTCAAATCTGCGCAGCCGATTCAGTATGTATCTGAATCACAGAGACCATGCGGATTCCTTGAACGAACTCAATCACAGACTCAATCACAAAGACCCACTGGAATTATTAACCGAAGTCAATCACAAGTCCAACCACTGCCTCGTCCTGCACCACAAAACCCTCCTCAATTTCAGCCAACTCTAACAACACCATTTCATTTGCAACAACAAGTCCAAGACTTTCCACGCGTTTATCCAGGCCAACGACCTCAATTTCAAGTACCACGTACAGAATCTTTCGGAATCAATCCAGCATTCGGAGCCAACCCACCATCTAGCATTATGCCTACTAATAGACAAGGTCCACCTAGAATTTATCCTCACGAAGCTGAAGCCAGAGCCCAACTTCAAAATCCTCGGGGTAAAGCAGCCCAGTATGTTGATCCACGACAGGATCCAGAATGGCGCAAGGCAAAGCAGGATGAAGAAATGCAAAAGGCTCGTGGAAGAATTGCTCGAGGAAAGGGTTTCCGTTCGCTTGTGCAACCCGGAAATCCTATGCCTAGTCTTAGGGAGCTTGAATCGACAGGTGGGCAGAATAGGTACGGTGTATTATCTCCGATGCCACCGCCACAACAGGTATGCAAACCACCACATAACCAATCAGAAAGTTTAAGAGGATTACTAACTGATAGACTTCGAAAGTAGCAAGCTTCCGTTACTCAATTTCCAGGATTAGAAAGTCAACACGATCAAGAAATGGCTTTGTCTCAATTAGGAATCGAGAATTTGGACATTGCATCTCAAGAATTCTTTGTTCAAGACTCATGGGCAAAATCACAACTTCGAAAGATTGGTAATACATGTCCTAGAGGTTGTCGATGGTTTAGGATTACGGGTGGATATCGATGCGGTCAGGCTTTTCATTGGGCTACTGATCAGATGATTAGTGAGGGAAAGGGAGAAGTAATCACTTCCTTGAGAGTTGTACCGAAAGGATTTCCAAATCAAGGTGAGCAATTGAAAACCGGCTCTCGTTATGATTAGTTGGCTCGGCGATGGATGCGGAGTTGGATATTGATAGAACAGATATCTGAGCAGCTGCATAAGCGTAATCTCTATATCTGGCGTCATTATTTACCCGGGGCTGGGACCACTCGTTAGGATGTTTTATAGATATCTATTAATCACAACCTTTTGTTCATGATGTATGACTGTATCCGTCTTGAGAATACGAGTGAGTGGTGTGATGCGAATAACCAACACTTTGACCTATGAATAATCTTCTTCCATGCCAAAAGACCATTTAAGAGCTACCTTCTCATAATAATAGGATAATTTCTTCTCGTAATATACAAACTAGATCAAAATACCAAGAAATCTCTCAGATCGAGAATAACATCACTAAAATGTCGACTTTGACACCTCCCGAAGACCAACCTACCAGAGCTCGCAGCAATTCCATCACACTAAATCAGCATCGAACTGCTACACACCTCCTGGGTGGAACTTGCGACAGTACCTTGCAAGTCTCATCGCGTCCAAAATCCAAATCGATGCTCGATATTACCACTTTGAAATCAGAAACGATGGCAGAAAATAACAACATTAATTCTCACTCACTTCTCTTTTTGCGGTTGAAGAACAAACATGGAGATAAAGATAGAAGTATGGATTCCCAAGAATCTTTGAACAAGCCTGGAGGGTAAATACCACTTATCCGAATTCAAAATGAAGCGCTTCCTGACTGTCTGTAGGATAATACTCAGGGATTTTGGTTCGCAGGAATCGCTTGATGATCTTAGAATGTAAGTTGTATTATTGACATATAATAGTAAAGAAGCATCTGCTGACCATTCCAGAGCGACGAATAGAATCACAAAGAGAAAGGTTTGTTTTGCGGATAGTGCTTATTTTGATGCCTCTAGGGATGTAGAGGAAAATATGTTTGATTGTGAGATGGATTTGTAGGTTGTTTAATAAAGGAATAATAAGAGAAAATTGAAGTAGTAGATGGATGCTAGTACAAGAACTTAGTTACCCACTCTATACATCTAGACGGGTTGAAAATCTAATATACAATGCGTTGAAGTTCACACAAAACAGAATCAATTTACTAGATTAAGATCTCAGATTCCACGATGGTCTCTATGAATATTCACATTCATACGGTCATGATTTACTACCGTGATGTGATTGAGTCATCGACGGTAAGCGTACTGAAATTTGGTTAAGCATGCAATAATGCTACTGCTTAGTTCGCAAATGTTGCCGTAGATAGAGTGTTTCACGGTCGATGATGAATTTCTCAAGAGAATACCTAGATTTTCATCTCTTGAGTTTCATACATAAGCCGCATTATTTTCTAAGCAAACTCCCAGTTTCTCCCTCACATCCTTTCCAAGACTTTAAAATAGGTATACACATCTCAACAAAAACAGATTTCAGACACAATGGGCACAGAAATACCCAAGAATCCATCTAAATCTCTCCCTATAACTACGTCCGAGTGGGACGATGACATAGACAAGATAAAAGTCACCAATGACCCCAAAATTTGGGAAGAAATGTCCCATCTCGCATGGCCCACAAACAGTCTAATTCCCATGCTTCTCGAAGCTAGCAAATTTAGAGAAGAAGAGAAAATAGAAGAAGCGCGAGAGATTGTCAGACGTATCAAGCATACACAGATGATCAGGAAGATAGAGGAAGAAGAGGAATTACATTCGAAGGGTGATGGGAATGCGGAAGAGGGAGAATGGATGGTAGTCGATGCTATGGCTGTGATGGATGAGATGAGAAAGATGGATAGGAATCTCAAGGAGGATGGTTATACAAAGAGACATAAAGCAGAGAAAGGATTAGGGAAGTGTAATATGTCATGGGCTAGTATGAATCATTGGTCGAGGTGGTGGAACTGGTACTTTCGACAGAGGAACTGAGCAGTGGTTTATAAGAGTTGAAAAATCAACCTCGATTCGTTGATGTAGAGATCATGCTGCCATCTTAAATTGCAATTACCTATTCATGTTATTGTGAGAATTCTAACTAATGGTGGAACTTTATTGGTTATTTTACCTATTGTATAATTCGTCATTCAACCACAAGTGAATATCAAGTATCACACTCAAAATCTTAACATTATCAGCCTCAAAATTCACCCACCCGCATCTCTTCAAGAGTTTGATCATAAAAAGTCGACGACTTTGACTTCCCAACACCTTCCAACAAAACTCCCCAAGACTACCCTCAAATATCCTCAAAAATGGGCTGCGGACCATCCAAACCACCCGTCCCTCCAAACGAAAAACATCAACGCCGATCCACCAGAGGCGCATATGCACCTCGCAAAAGCGATAAAAGCAGTCCCCACGCATCCCGACCCGTTGAAGTCTCATCATCTCACCGCGCCGTATCAACCCGCGTTATGAATGAATATGCGAGCTACCTGCAAGCACAAAGAAATGTTCACAACACCATGAACGAAGTGTCGACTGAGCAGAACCCTCAAAAAGAACAAGATAGAGTGAAGGAATCGAGATTGAGCTGGGCGATTCCGGAAAGAAGATCTTCGCTTGGGGTTATTACGCTAGGAGCACAAACCAATGGAGGCAATACAATCGACGCTCGCAAGCTTGGAGCCGGCACACTTGAAGCTAGCAAAGTTGGTGTTCATACGGGAGGATGTCGTATCATTCAATCAATCAGTAACCCGGGTCTGAGTGCTGTGTCGCCGCCGACGCCAAGACAAGATGAAGATGATTTTGGTTCTCGACCTGTTTCTCCTGTAAGTTCGGTCGGTACGACGAAGTGGGATCGTCCTGGAAACGTTCTTAAGGGTTGAACTTGAAACGATAGAGGAAGTGGAAGTACTGAGTGGGAGGATATTGTGATGGATATTGGGGCTTTTGGAAGTGGTGAAAGCTTGATGGAGTAGATAATGAATCTAGTGAAGGTTTAGTTGGATCGAAACTGGTTTAGAAGTTGCGTAATGAGGAGATGAGCACTGCAAAGATTCAAAAACTGTCTAGCAATTGAGGATGCGGGGTGGTAGAGGATAAGCAAGTTGGGTTAGAACCTACAAGAATAATAGAAAAGCATATTCGCCCATGCGATTCCTAAAATTTAATGTTCACCAATCTCTTACTTGATCAAAATGATTTATTTGCACCTTCGTCCATTTTACTTCTTCACTTATTGCGACGCTATTCGGTTTGGAATTATCCTTAACACTTATTAACTACCCATCTGAACTGGCAGAGGAAACTGAACATGAGTATCATATTTCTCCCAATCAAGAAGAAACATTCTTTTCAAATCAGGTTCTTTTCTGAGAAGTCTACAAATATCCTGATGTTCATTTTGACTCCATCCAATTATCTGACAAGCCTACTCGTTGCAAAAATATGATCAGCATCAGAGTCATCATTATTACATGAAAAGCAAGGAATAAGAGAGATTGTTTAAGTCTTACCCTACTGCAATACCAGAACATTGAACATCGCGGGCACTTAAACAGCGAGGCTGATTTTTTCTGACATCCATGACACATTCTTAGACCATTCGTTTCTGTTGAAAACACTTGGATTTGATCGTTTAACGCGAATAGCTCTTTGAGAGAAAGCGTGAAGATCTAATTCGTTATTGCATATGGTTAGCGATAGGCAGCTAAAAGAACTATGAAAATATAGAAATGATAAGCATAGTACCTTCAAACAAAGTTCATCATCATGAAGAATACCCATTTTTCGACCAAAATTTTCATCTTCAATTGGAAACTCATGGGGCTTCGCGTTAATGATCGCAACTGTATATCCTACTTTGACTCTATTTGGTGGTAATTCTCTCCCCCTTTCTTCGGTTCCGAATGCAAGCTTGATCTCTTTACCATCAACATCTTTGACTGCCAACGATGAATTTCCAAACTTAGTTGTATAGGTAATCTCTCCAAAGAAACACCAATGATTTCGTGGCCTGGAACAAGAAACTTCGTTGGTCTCGTAGTAGTCGCTATTGCTTGAGAAGGGCAGGTGAACAATTGGTGGAAAAATGGAGCGGCTTCGAAAGTCGACTATGCGTTCCACAGAACGCACTCGCCCTCTTTTCCATAGCCAGTCTTCGAATTTGTCCGGAGAAAGACCAGTGGGTATTTCGTCGACTGTTGTTTTCCATGTTGTCGAATGCCCAAATAATTCGTATTCAGTAGGGTTGTCGACTAGGTACCCCCATTTTTGTATTTCCATACAGTCACTGCCATAGACTATTTCAAAGTCAGATATTGCCCTCTCCGCGAAAACCTTTCCTCTGGCTAAGTCTCTATACTTGAGAACAGTCTCAGCGATAGCCACATAGATTCGCCCCATATCGGCAATACCGGTTTCCTGTTCATTATGAAGACGGACGAGTTGATCGAATTCACGAAGTTCCAGTAATGGTCTAGCACGTCTGCTCGCTGCGATACGACCAAAAACAAAGAGTGTCAACTTGGGTATTTCACTCAATTGCCTATCACTGTTCTTGCTCTCTTTTGTGGGCAAGGAGCAGAGACCACATAAACAATCAAATCCGAATTTTTCCTGAAGACTCGCACGGCGAGCTCTGCGGGGTTTATTGAGACCAAGATAGTTCATCGTAATTTCCTCATCTTTGCAGATATCTTTCAGAGCCGTGATAGCGATTTTTTGGCTACTCTCAATCCAGTGAGCCCCCGCGTTTCGATCGCAAGCATGATTGATACGACATGCATCGAGGAAAAATCCGCCTCTTCGGTCTCGGGTTTGAGATCCGCCTGTATTGCTGGTTTCCTCCTCTAAAATACTGGCTCCTTTCAAAGGCAGACAATTTGTATTAAAAATCGCACACAACCGTTCAAAGTCATTTGTGTATGGTTGTGCAGGACCAAAAGAAACGTAATCCTGTCGCTGTTGATGACTGAGAGTAGGCCATTGTTTTGAGATGCAAGATCGGAAGTCATCTCCGATCAATTCAGGTCCTAACATCAGTGCCGACTCCGAAAGAATTCGTGTGCCCCTAGGAATATTAATAGTCGCAATGAGACCTAAACCTTTCCCTGGCACATCCCGCTTCGCATACATTTGATCAGCCATCGTGATACACTCATTCGGACCGTCCACCTTCGGGTCTGCGTGACCTCTTTATCGGAAAGTCAGGTTTCGAGACTCTGTGAATGTGAATTTGAAGATCGAAGTAGGAGAATGAACCAATATAACCAACCATAATGAGTTCTTTTACAGTGAATTTGTTTGCTCGGAGCGAATTTGAGACTCCTAAATGATGTAAATCAACGATACATGTGACTTGTAAAACTACAAAATCACATCAAAGAATGAACAAGGGAGAAGGCTTAATCCTTCATGCATGTAACCAAGGAAACTTGTGACGCATAGAAGCATGAAATGAAGCACTAGCATTTCTACCTCAAATTTCAGCATGATAAAGAAGTAGAACGCAGTGGCTGGTATTATTCACTCTATCATGAACCTCCAGCTATGGAAAGCGTTCTATGGATATCTCCTGCTTAATTTCCCACAACCGTAGGCAAAGGAAATTGAACAACGCCATTGAACTGATCCCATTTCATCAAAAACATCCCTCGCAGATTAGGCTTTTTGAGGGGTTTGCAATCATCTTTGTGGCCCTTAGTGTTCCAGCCGTTCTTCTGACATTTCTGTTTGTCGTGCACATGAAAGTTAGTATGCGCACTAGTATAGATGATCGCGGAGCCTCTGTGTTAAACTGGGCTCATCACAATACCAAAAGAAGGAACACCGGCTGCATTTCACCATTGACGATGATTTCTTACCACATCCATGGCATGTTCTGGATTATCAGTCTCTCTTTTCGAAGAGAACTCTCGAGTCAGATCTCTTAATGCAATCAAGTGAGACAACGATATTGGGAAGATCTGTATCACATTGTTAAATATTTACCATTATATGGGTATTTAGTGGAAACCACTTGAGCACCATACCTGAAGTAACGCGACGTTTTCAAGGCTGATTTCAGGTTCAGTAATTTTGCCGTCGCGTTGCGCATAGAGAATTGCAACTAGGTGCGCTTTTCGAAGTCTAGGAAATATGCCTCGTGCATTGGTTTCGAGTAAGAGTTCGACATTTGTGTCATCAATGTCTTTGACCAGAATTGCGAGATCTGATATATCAAACTCCAGAATCTCGCCAAAGAAACACTAGTGGCGCCGCGGCCGGTGATTGGACCTTCTAAAATCCTCATAGAACTCTGAGCTCGTCCGTTCCCTGTACGGAAGTTCCAGGAGTGCGGGGAAAATGGAGTTGCTCAAAAAACTGTTTGGGCTTTGGAAATAAATTTGTGAATTCTGTAGTCCCTCTCTTCTCCAAAGCCAGTCTTCAAATCCATTGGAATCAAGACTTGATGGGACATCATGGACGGGTGTCGCCCAATCTAGAGATGATAAGCCGTAATAGATGTTCATAGATAGATGGTTCGCTCGATGCTGGTTATCGAGCACTTGTAGACTGTCACTACCATATGATATTATCAAGTAAGTTGTTGCCTTCTCAGCCAAGATACGAGCTCGTGCCAAGTCGCCGTGACCTATGTTCATCTTAGAAGCTTCAACAAACAGACCACCCAACAAGCTGACACCCAGTTTTTTGCCAGAGAGTAGCTGAACTGCTTGATCCATGAAACGGACGCCCCGCAACGGATATCTCATAAAGGTGCCTGGAATCAGGGTCATAATCCGAGCGATATCCATGAGTTCTCTGTCAATGTGCCTAGATTGCCCAGCAGATAAAGCACAAAGATTGTATGAGCATAAAAATTTGAATTTTTCTTGGAGAACCTGACGTCGAATTTCGCAAGGCCATGAGCGGGATCCAAGATAGCTTATCGTGATCTCTTTGCCTTCCTGGATATCTCTCGGCGCGTGGATAGTGTGCTTCTGGATATTCGTGTTCCAGTTGCTAGAGGCGTTGTTATCGCAGGCGTGGTTGATCCGACAAGCTTCAATGAATAGTCCGACCTCATCGTCACTTGCCATAGGAAGACCATTTGCTTTGAAAATACCAAAGTATCGCTCATCCGCGTTCTTTTAAGGTTGCACATTCTTCAGAGACAGGAATGCTTGCTGTTGGTTATTGAGGGCATTGAATTGACCTCGGAGGGAAAATCCCGAGGGTGCTCGTTTAGGCCTCGTCATAGTTGACCTCTCTTCAATGATCCGAGTACCCCTTAGGAATGTCCCGGGTTGCAACAAGACCTTTCTCCTTTCCCAGTACATCTTGCAATGCGTATCTCGAATTTTCCGGCATCCTATGTCGTCTTTTTATGTTTCTTTTTTCCGACCAAAAAGTTTGATGGGAGAATAGTGAAACTTAAGAGGTGAGAAGAAGGGTTCTAAGTTAATTGAGAATTACATTGCCTTTGACCACCAACGTTAATTTGTTGATATTAGATGGAAGCTAGCATGGAAACAATCATCTCTGTGCACAGAGGCGTAGAGCTTTTTAAAATCGATTCGTCTGAGTAGAAGGATATGCAGCCTGCGTATACGCGTGGTGCACGTAGCATGGCAAAATAGTTACAATTCCCCTGGGAAAGGCATCGGCTAATCGAAAAAATCGGTTTGCCTTTCATGTAATATGGCAAATATTCCAATACCCTATCTTTCCAGAAAAACATGAACATAATTTAATTTCGATGGTCTTGTCCATGATTATCGACGATTTTGATCAAGACGCTTCCGTCCCGTAGATATGGTATGTTCACGGCCGCTACTAACGGATGGTGACAGTAAAGCTACAGGTGGTTTTTGTTTTTGTTTGCGCTTGGCATATTCTGCACTTGACATGGGCCCCTCACATTTCACTTCATTCGTCAATTGCTGTGGCTATTCAAATTGGCCACTTCCAATATTGCCAATGTGCCATACAAATATTATTCTCAGTCGAACTTTCGACCTTACGATCATTTTGTTGTAGTAATTTTCAGTCTGCTCTTGTAATCACGGCAATTTTACTTGATGCATGTCTGAGTAGATGGTGAAATGGGAGATTGGATCGTCAGCAAACAAAGAGAACACTTTGAGATGAAGATCTTGGTTTCCATTCCAACGGAATGACAAACGGAAATCTCCACTTCTCCACTCAAGACATAGGTCGGGAGCAATCTCGGGATGTTTGTTTTTGGTGATATCATGGCCAAACCAAGGACGGCAAGCCGTCAACATGCTATGAAGAGATGATGAAATTCTTAGTTCTCAGATGCAATGGAAAAATAACCCCAAAATCAAACATCGATAGGGTTACAGCGCCATGTGTTACCAGTCAGCTTTTCTTTGCATCTTAGGCCTGGATCCCCAGAAATGTATATTATAGTGCAACGAACCTTATCCCCACAGATACCCTCCTCCCTCCTGAACCCCCATTATTCAATTGTCCAATGCCTGAACTACCGATATCTCAAGTCCGATTATTGGTGCTGGGCGGGATTCGGAGTTGTCCCGGAATTGTGATGACAATTTATCCGAGGCCAAGCTTCATCGTCTCCCCCGCAATTGACAAATACCATAGTTAGGACAGCTAAGAAGCTTAAGATATAAACATCACTCCGATCTCAAGTTATTTTTCTATTCCATTATTTCATTCCAATACCAACAAGTTATATAATTCTTACCAAAATCTACCAAAATCTACCAAAATCTACCAAAATGGCTGATCAAACCAAGATTGCAACGCTCGACGTAAGTATACCTTTCACTAGAAAATACCCCGCTTCTGAGGACAACAACTACCATATGAAGAGAATTAGCAAGAATTGTTCGCCACTAACACATCCAATACAGAGCACACTTGTCGACCGTCTTCCTACCTCCTCCAAAACCCTCTTTGAAGCTAAAGCCACCAAAGCTTTAACCTTCGAATCCATCGCCAACCAACTCGGCCGCTCCGAAGTCGCTGTCGCTGCACTCTTCTACGGCCAATCGCAAGCCTCTGCTGCCGACATTGAGAAGCTTTCTCAAATTCTCGACGTACCACAATCGAAGCTCGAGGCCGAGCTCGGAGGTTTCCCAGACCGTGGGCGTGCTGGTCCCATGCCTCCAGTTGAACCTCTCATCTACCGATTGTATGAAATTGTTCAGAACTATGGATATGCTTATAAGGCCGTCATGAATGAGAAGTTTGGAGATGGAATTATGAGTGCTATTTCTTTCAGTACCAAGGTCGAGAAGGAGACTGATGAGCAGGGAAACAACTGGGCCGTTATTACTTTGAGAGGAAAGTGGTTGCCATTCTCCAGATTTTAAATTGGCTTGGAATTGCAGGAGAGAAGGGATTTCAACTGGAGGCTTACTGAGGGAAAAATGACAGGCTAAATGGGCGGCCAATTTGTCACCTGGGTTCTACGATTAATTATGAAAAATATGAAGAAATTAATGAATCAATGAATGTTTTGCACATCGCTTTTTTAGTTGTCAACCACAGTACCACTGGTGTGATCTGAAAATCCACAAAAGGTGACTTCCACACATTTCATGAGTCTCATTTCAACTATCCTTCACGTCCTATTCTCGCAAAAAAAAATTAATCCACACCTTGTAGTTATTCGATGCCATATCAGTCTCGACCAAGAAAATTCTCGGGAGAGTTCCCTTGATGTCTCATTATCCAGTTTCAGAACATCGTATACCACATTTATTACTTAAATAGTTCCATCACTCTTAGCTGGATTTTTAATTTTACGTATTTCCAGTCGAGACATGAAGTGTCCTGGATAATTTCAAGACGGCAAAACATAGAATGTTATCTTGTCTGCTATTTACAATTTTGATGATGTGCTCTTTTCATGAACTTTTGACACCAAGGAAACTTTCTCCCAACTAAGCAAGGTGACATAGTAGAATGTTGCAAGAAACACGAAGACCTGAAATCTTCGCGAGAACCCCAGAAGTTCAGAGGAATAAACTGACGTGGAATATAGTGACGACAGTTATTGGCCGAAATGTTGGAGTAACATTTCGCGCCGTACATCCAAGTCGTAATATCGATACCTCCTTGATTTATTGGCCGATACATGTGAAACTCTCATACTCAAGTTCATCTCAAACTCACCACAAACATATATCATCATATCACATCACGTCACATATCACCATCAAAAAAGAAGTCATCATATAGGGAAAGCAAAATAAGAGTTTGATTCCCTCCAGTATAAAAGGGCGCATCACCATCCCAAAAGAACAGCAACGTCCCACCAAAAATATCGAGCGGCAGAAAATTTCCCGAAATTCCCTCTTCCATTGCGAAACGAAAGAAGTCATCAAGCTTGTCCGAAAAAGAATCCTCGCCCCTATAACCGCAATGTATACGAAAAAACGATATGAGTGATCAGTCACATCGTCGATTGTCGATTATGTATGTTGAATTGTAAAAAAGGTGGATTGGTATAAAATACCGATAATCGAAGGGTGAAAGTTGGGGCCAAAGTGTGTTATGACCGTAGTGAATGTGGTGGTGTGTATTGAAAACCATGGGAAGTCCAATACTGCCGATAAAATCTTTTTCTATTTTATAAAGTGTCTATTTTTCTAGAAAACCCATCTAAGTGAACGTTCGTGTGCGCAGCATTGAGGAGATTGTTAAAATTGCTACAAAATGATAGAGATACGTAAAGTTTGTCTCGAATATCTCTCATCTATTTCTTTCCGATTCGTCGTCGTTAAACGTGTTTGTTATTCGCAAGCGTATCTAGCGATTCGTGTCTCGAAAGGAAAATAATGAAAGTCGCATATCCAGCGTGCTCTATCGCTCCTCCAAAATCATCTCAGAGAGAGATGATTTATGCCTTCTGAACGTTGCAACCACGGCCAGGGCCACGTTGGATGTTGCATCCACGGCCTGGTCCGGCGGTCTTCTGGACGTTACATCCACGTCCTGGTCCCTTTTGAACATTGCATCCACGGCCGGGTCCGGCCTTTTGGAGAGTGCATCCGCGTCCTGGTCCTTGCATTTTGATTGATTTTTGGGGTGGGTTTTGGTTTTTGGTAAAAAGATTGTATGTAAGTGAATGTAATTTGGTGAAGAAGAAAAGTCTAGGAATGAGGGTTGGAGGAGGGGTATTTATAGGGAATCCTGGAGGAGGGGTTGGGGAATTGTTCAAGGAGAGACAAAGAATACTAGGTGCTGGACCATTAAGATAGTATGAAAAGGGAGTCTGTAAAGGAGAGAGAACAGCTGAGGGAATAGGTACTAATTCTGGCTTCTAGAAGACTTCTAGAAGAAAAATGTTATCTACAATTTCGCTTCAAATCACTCATTAAACAAGGAGATTCGGATGACCCGATTCCAAATGGAAGACAGGTTCTCCTATAGAATGAAAGAAGATCGTACGTCAAATCGAAGCTACTCACCCTTGACATTGTCCTCGAACCTGAACATTGTTCTTTAACAACAAGAAACCATCAAGGAAATGAACATCAGTTGACCAATCTCAGCCTCCAGAGTCATGTCTCCCTTTGAATATCCATCAAACTCAAAACCAAAAACTCATAGGCGACGCCCTATACCTTTTCACTCCGCCGAAAGACTTCTTAAAGGCATTACATACCATATTCTAAAGATCGTGAGAAAATTCATGAAGCTATTCAAGTTTCAAACATGAAACTACTCGCGAAAGGTATCAAAGAAATATGAAAACTAAAGAACTTTTAAGCGAGCCCCTTAGTATTGTCTCCTTGATATTGTTCATCCAGAGACTAAAATCAAAGGATTGAAGAGGAAATGTTCTAGAAGCAATTAATGGAAGGATCTAGAAGCTGTCTCTTTCAGTATCCTGCGCAAAATATCATATAGTTGTGTGGGAGGTCACGGAATGAGTTGGTGGAGCGGGATTGCCATGTCGGAGACTCCAGGAGTAAACCACAGATTTCCATCACAAAATACTTCACTCAATGAATTCTTTGTTTTAATACGAATCACCCGAGGAATTAACCTCACCTCGTGTCTTAGAGTCACAGACTTATACTAGTTCAAAGAAATCACAACCTACTTTCCACATCCAAAGCATTCTATCTAGCCTTTCCTCTCAATCTCTCCATAATCAAAGGCCGGACTCTGCGATCTTTTCTTACTTATATCTTCAAGCATTTCATACCAGAAAGATATCAAGGAGAACATTCTAAACTCACCTTGTGCTAGCCATGTGTTTGAGGTGTTTCCACAACAGAAAGAAGTCACAGTTCGACTTTCCCCGAGTCTAGCTTCACTTGTTCGAAAAATATCATATTGAAGAAGTATCAAGGATATTATTCCATGAATGTCCTTATTCTTAATCCGTATTTTCCTGCAATAATTGATCTAGAGATAGGGACATATATTATCTCTTCACTTAAGGAAACGCCTCTCAAGCAGCTAGGTACATACTATACTGGTGGTATGACTTTAGCCGGTTCACAACGAGATTTCTATGGGAAGAAAGTGTTTGGGCCCTACCTCAGTTTGGGCCCTACCTCAGAATGCACGAATTCTACTGCATAGAGCGGATTATTGGAAGTTGAAGTATTAGTTTAGGAATGCGTTTCATTTCTACGAAAATTCGAACCTGTCTTGGGTGGAGCCTACCTAGTTAATTATGAGTAAATTAACATAAATCCCTCTCAGTTCATCAGCAATGTTTCAGTATATTCAGTAAAGTTACTTCCTGCTGCTGGGTATAATCTCACTAAGCTCGGCTAATCAGCGCTTTGATTTCCATGATGAGGACGCACCATCCTTTTTCTCCTATTTACTATCCATATTATGTTATCTGCACGTTTACTCTTTCATCTTTCCAATCATTTCTTCCCTTCCAATGGGATTTTTAACCAGTTGGATGATAATTGAAGTACACCTTCCCCGTGGAAGACCCAGGACTAAAAACTCCGGACAATTGCTAAGAGAATATAGCTGAAGAAGTATGGTGAAGGAAATGATAATGACGATGGCAGTGGTGCTGGTGTTGGTGAATTGATGTAAGTTAATATCCGGTTGTTTTCTTGGTAGTAACAATGCCCATGAATTCTTGGTCTCTACTGGGCTTCAATCGAGGTGTACGCTGTACACACTCATTCAAAGCTTCTTTGAATAGACCATAAGATACAATGGAGAGTCCTGTGAGCTCATTTGCTCCAGAAGTACTCTTGAATCACATAATCACTTAATACCAACCAGAAGCTATCTCTCATTTGAGAAAACCCCATGATTTCCTTCGGGAATACAAAAAACTTAACAGCCTTGGCACTATCATTCTCTCCTGAGATCTATAGAATTCTGATGACCACTTATAAAACTTTATTATGGAAATCCCTTAATGCATAGTATTGAGTTTCTTTTGGCTTTATTCACACTGAATCTTGAGATTGTATCGAGTGATAAATCCAGCATGATCCATTGTCATTCAATTTTTCAAACATCGCTCAAGTAACATGTATATGGTTGTGAAAAATCCATCCATATGACTTGTAACTAATCCTTTTCTCCTCCAGGCGTTCATAAGGGGTTTCTAGAAACGAGACTCATGACAAATATTCGATGCACCAAACTCCAACTAATGATTTTTTCCTTTTCAACGTTGTGCTCGAAAGATGTTGGCATCGTCTACTATCCTGATTGCCTCGATAGATACTCAGATATTCGCAATGATTTAATTTTGAGAGTCAGCTGATCAAGAATTTACTTTCATTCGAAGGACAAGAAAGACTTACAACATTTTCTACATTTGTTCCTCACAGGTTGTATGTGAGGTATATTTGAAGACATAGTGTCTTTCAGACAGCCAAATATCTCTAATAAAATCAAGACCATATCTTGCCCTTACAAATTGTGTATATGAGTTAGTTGTGAACAAAAATTGAATATATTTGAGAATCTCAAAGAGTCTCTCTTTTCCGAGATCAAAACCTTTTCTGGTCCCCATAAATTGTATATGAGGTATTGATGCACAAACTTGACTCAGCAACACCACCAGCACCAGCACAAAACCAGTCAATTTTTGAAATCAAGACCATGTCTCTTCCTCGCAGTAGATCTTCTACGAGGTAACATGAAGAGAGAGAAAAATCAGAATCTAAGGGGAGTCCGCCCTTTTTATACCCATTCGCCGTGGGGTAAATTCTCTAGTGAGTGAAATTACGCAATGAGTCTACTTGGTAGTTAGAAATGGTATCGGAGGAAGTGGAATTACGTGTCCTAAATGTGTTCGCTTGTGTGAGGGGGTTTGCGGGGAACCTACATATGTCTGGTCTCGAGCTAGTGGTCTTGGGCTCGTTAAGGCTTCATGTTCGTTGCGATTCTGCACCTAGACTCTACTCAAGAGTGTTCTCGTGATTGATGCGGTTGTGGACTGGGATGGGTCTAGAATATAGCCTTCAACGGTCAAATCAACGGTTACAACTTTTCAGGTTAGATGAGAAACTCAAAATGGTTTCATCCAATACTTTTCTCTGTTTATCAAAATGCCAGATCTATTTCCAGATGAGATGATCTGATCATTCAGACTAACTGTCTTCTTTTTCCCACAAAATCCTCAAGAAGCCCTAACCCTACAGCACGATGTTGTGAGAGAAATGAAAGCGAAAACTGAGCGCCAGAACGTTATTCATTCCTTCACTTAATAGCCACATGAAAACGTGACAAGAATTATTCTAGAGGCCTGACAACATAGCGGAGTTTTCCCCCGCTTGATTGTAATATCCTTATTTCGACGTTTCTAATCTCATTTTGTAGAGGGAAACGGTCTGCGTGGATCACGAGTTTACTCACCTATACACGAGTGGTTAGTCTCGTGGCCACCCTACATCAGAGTGAGCTAGGTATGGGTACCGATCCGGGCATTGAGAAAGATCACTCCCTCGGTGATCACAATCAGGGAGGTGATTATGAATCTATTAATCAACCAAGCAATCAAACCCATCCATAACCGACCAACAAACCAATCAGCATGAATTTGAGGAATGGAATGGAATCCAGCAAAAGTTAAACGAGTATCAAATCCCGTAAAGATATATTCTCCCAAAACTTTTTCCCGCCCAGGTCTCTATCTTCAGAGTACCAAAGTCCAAGTTTTTCATTTCCATTTTTCGTTCCAGGCACAAGTCTAATAAGTCACAAGTAGCAAAGAACTTTTCACAAACCCCTCATCCATGAAGATGAACTCCAAGTCCTCTCCTCCAAATCAATAAATCCACCATCAAGATAACCATGTACATCACAATAGGAATCACAAATGCAGAATTTTGATTTTTTTTATGAAGTGCCATTCTTTCCACGTTTGATTAAAAGCTAATTACATGCCCATTCTCCTAATATATTGATAATTTACCCGAATACCCTGTTGATTCTCCCATTTTTGCGCAGCCAGAGCTCGTAAAAAAGACCTCAAATAAAATGAGTTCATAAAAGCTCTGCAAATAAATATGTTAATATGTAAATATCCCATCCAGTAATAGTATCCTTCTTTGTGGTATCATAATGTCGTCATTTCATGAAACCATAACCCATTGAGCAAATATCACAATGATGTGTGTAGATAGATAAGTTGTAAACAAAAGAAAAGCAAGATGAAGCAAAGTCTTCGGTGTTTTTAAAGTTCGAGAATGATATCTCGCAACTCCAGACAGTCGGCCTTGGTGAGTTCACCGGATAACTTCTTGGCGACGATGTACTTCTTCAACTTGGTGAGATCATCATCGTCTCCCTCGTTGGTTGGTCGACTTGGATCTTCACTTACGCCAATATCACCGTTATAAGCGTAGTCGGCAAAGTTGGCAGGAAGAGCACTCTTTTCCGCACAAATGATGCGATCCTCTGGACTGAGTAACTCAGGCTTGACATGACGACAAGTGAGGGCAAATCGTAGAAGTCCATGAGGTGTAACGGCATGCTATTGAGATTGATTAGTACGATGAGTTGTGTGGTGATCCAAAAAGGATACTTACTTCATAGTATTTATGAATACCGGATCCGTGCATAACAATGATGTCGCCATGGTTCAGAGTGACCTTGACGTAGTCTTTCTTGGCTGCTTTGGAACCAAGATTGCCTTTACCAGGCTTGAGAACACCACCAATTGTGCTCTTGTTTTTTGGACGGAAGCACATGGTCGAGGAAGCTCCAAGAGACAAGGTTGCTACGGTTTCACCAAGAGTATCTTCTCCATCATCGTGATACTATCGTAAGTCAGTATGTCGATGTAAGAAAGAGGAGAAAGATGTACATACGCCGATATGCATGTTCTCGAAGTAACCGAGGGCCAAAACTTCATTGAAAGAGGTGAACTCGGCGTCCTCCTTTCCAGAAAATGCTTGTTGTCCAGCCCAAGTCATTCTTTGCATTGCCTGGAGGATAGGTACTGGAGCATCTTCAAAAGAATTTGCTTCATGTGCAACCAAGAACTTGTATGGTGCCCCCTAGATTGATGAATCAGCTATAGCAAAACGCGTAAGTACAAAGTAGAACTTACAAAGTTTGATGCGAAGTGCGCAGTAACAATCTCCATTGGAACTGGTAAAGGTTAGAAACATGACAACGCAAAGGAAAATTGCGGCAACTCACGGCCAGGATGTCTAGCGGGACCTCTGCGGAGCTTGTAATCATCCTTTTGCATTCCCTGGAACAAGTCGTTTGGTCCGCCTGGTTGGCTATTGATAAGACCATTGGAGCGGAAAACTTGGATCCATCCAGCTTCTGTTGTCTCGCCAGGAAGTTGGAGCTCATACACATCATAATGACCAATGGGCTTGTGGTTGACACGAACGGATTCATGAGCAAACACTATTGGGCTCTGATCAACAATGACGTTGTTACCTTCGATGACTTTAGTGATGGGAACTGGAACCTGTGTCACAGTGTGAGTGAAATCACAACCCGGGGTTTCACAAGTCCATTGTCGCCATTCCAAACGACGGATGCATCCATGGCACTTCGGGCAGACAATGCCTTGCTTGCATCGTTCTTCAACACCAAAGATATCTTCACCAACCAAGTCTGCATCAGTGATAGGCTCGGGACGTAATGGGGGAGGTGCAGCACCAGTGTAAGGGGTACGTTCTTGAAGAAATTCCGCACAGTATTGGATATCATCGACATCAACTTGATGATCAAAAACGTAGAAAGATTCACACTGAGGGCTTCGACAAGTCCAGCCTTGTGTGTAGATGGTCTTGCATGAAGTATCACAGGCACCACAAGTTTGGATAACCGTCTTCACGCCATCATATCCTTGAGAAAGATGGGCAGTAGAGTCAATTGGAGACCACCAGGACCGCTTTGCGAGATCAATCTTCTCCATTCGGACCTTCCACATCTTGAGGCCGCTCTCAAGTTCACACCAGACATCTGTGATGTGAAAGAAGTCAAGGACGTTAAAGTGGTGATTGAGCTTGACAGGGCAGATAGTATTGCGCTGGCCTATAGAAATATTAGAGTGGAATTGTACACGGCAATAATTATACTTACCAGCAATCATTGCAATTGGCAGCTTGGCTTCCATGGTGCGTTGGAAGGAGATGGCAATCGAGCTGAAATCCTGGTCTTTGACGCGCTTCGTTTCACCATCTTCGCCCTTTGACTTACCACCACCACTGTTATGGAAAAGTTAGCAAGAATCAAATTGTCATTGAAAGTTGGAGTAACTTACACTGATGTGATGTAGATATCTTCTGTGAAGACATCGCGGGGGCCAACTCCTTGGTTCGCCAGGAAACCAGCAATCATGCCGTTAGTACGATAGGCAGCAGATTCATATCCTTTGTGGTAAGGAAGTGAGGAACAAAGTTGCTGTCTCTTCTCAGCCCATACTGGTGGCTTACCCCAAGCTTCCGGCTTGCTCAAAGTTGCGTTTTCCAAAGAAGGTAACTCCTTAACTTTGGCTGCAGCTTTTCGTGATTTTGGAGGGGTTGCTCGGGAAGGCTGACGAGGGGGTGTAGTCATTACCTTTTTGCGAGGAGGCTCCAATGACTCTTCAGCGGCTTCTGTGAGAAGGTTCTCAACATTGTTCATCACAGCCTTGCGCTTGATGGGGACCATTGGCTTTTCACTTCTTGCGAAGAACTGGTCCAGCTTTGGTTGTACATTTTTGGTTGCTCGAGTACTTCTTCGTGGTGGTGGTGAAGATATCTCGAGGGTATTAGAAGGAGGTGAGGGTGTATTAAATAGGTTAGCTGGTAGATTGGATTCTGACCAAGTGCCATCTTCATGCTGTGGAGAGTAATCTTGGTTCATAAAAAAGCCAAGATTCTTCAAAAGTTAGTATAACTTCTATCTTTGGAAAGGAAAAAAGTGTGATGATGAAACAAGAGAGAACATTTCAGCCCAATACTTGTTGTTGTTTCACTTCGAAAGGAAAGAGCAATACACAAAAGAGGAAAAAGTGATGAGTGAATGGTATGTAGAGTGGTCACAAATAATTCAATATTGACTTTCCAGATAGACACCCAGAAAGAAAGTTGTTCAAAATGGAAGGGGAAGGAAGTGCAAAGAGAAGTGTGCTCGGATTTGTGATACTCGAGGGAATTTGCGGAAGGATTGTTTCTGGATCTTACCTCTTCTTTGGCGTCGGAGATAGAAGACATTGATGTTTCTGATCCCGAACTGAAAGGACGTAGAATGTCCGATGTTGATGACGTTGACTTCATGTTATCAGACAAACTAGTATTGTCTCGTTGCCGACGAACTTTCAAAGAAATCATCTTGAATGTGTTAAAAGAAGTCTATTGGTAGGTTGATAGAGTGTGGTGGGTAGTAATTGTATTAATAATAACGAAGGAAGGAAGGAAAGAGTATCTGAGTGATACCTTGAAGTAGAAAAAAAAGAAAAGGATGAGGGAAGGAAGAAACAAATTGTAAAAATTGAAGAATAATAAGAAGGTGTAGATGGAAAGAAAGATCGAGTCAATCAAGGGGGAAGTCGAAGACTTAAGTAAGCTCTAGGAAGGCCCTTCGAGAAGTCAAATCGAGCTAAGACTAGCGTGGTTTGTTGAAGAATTCACCTCACCCTCATCAAGTCGAAAGATGATAGAACGTCAATCAAGTAAATGGTGCCAGATTGAGGGGTTAGTTTGCCCAAATAGGAAATAGTAGGATGATTTACTGTTTGTGCATGAGAAGAAAGTCGAGTGCATGATGGTGAATCATGGGTTTCTCTCCTACAGGCCTCATGTTCCCAGTTCTATCGAAAGGTTTTTTTGGATGCGGCATTTTCTCCCCTCAATTGAAAGAACTTGTGATAGGATGAGGGGGTTCTTTGAATGACATGAGTAAATTGATAGAGGTAATAATTGAAGGTTGAAACCCAAATCACCTCATTGAGTAGATAATTGTTTGAGTTGAAAGTGTGGAATTGTTCACATGAAGGGGGGTTGATGAATCCAATCTATCCGACCTCACCCCTATGAAGGGATTTGGCGGACTGCCCCGAACAAATCGCTTATCCGAAGTGAGTCCGAGAATGGAAGTACATTTTGGTGCTGGAGATGATAGGGAAGAATAAGCACAAAGGGGAGGGTGACAGTGAATTCCACCCTGTCTTTTGGAGATTTTGAGAACCACAGCTGACAATTCGTTCATACCACTTTTGGACCGCAACAATAGCTCACCCAAACACATGTCGTTGTGAAGTATATATGATATATATTGCATATATAGCTGCCTGGTTGAATTTTGCTTGGAATCTTCAACAAGTTCCTAACAAACAAGTAGAAATCACTTCTAGTGCTTAGATTCTGGCTATCAACTCTTGCTGTCATACTTCCACTTGAACAGTATCTTGCTGGTTCCCAGAGTGAGAATTCCGTCAAAAACGATGCTCATCATTCTCCAAATTCACTGGTTTGGGAGATGACGTGGGAATACAACCTCAACTTCTCATGATAAACACGTGCTCCTCAAAGACTTTTAATTGGTATTCGAAGTTGAGGAACGTAGAAGATATTTACAATATGATTCACTTGATTTTATGATCAGGTGCAGTTGGTAGACGGCAGGTTTTCCTCAATAGAACAGAGAAAAGACCCCTTCCTCCCGTTGACTGCAAAAAGATACTAACAATCATTGACAACCGTGAACAGACTCATACTCCATCGCAAGCCCTTATTGATTACCACTAGGATTCAAAGTCAAAGTAGAGAACCGTGGCTGTTTTATCGAGAACGTGAAGCTATCGAGTAATTTCTCGGTCATTCAACTGGCCCTACGAAAGAAACCGCCTCTCCAGAGACCATCTATAGCCTGAATAACTCCATTATGGAACCAGAGACTGAATGATCCAACATCTATCCCCATCAAGCTAAAGTACATAGTTTGAAATTTACATCAATCAACTTCTTTCATGTACTACAGATAGACGATTAGGTACTCAATGCTTGGTTTCCAGCTAAGTACAATGTATAAGAGAAACGACCAAGAAAGAATGTCCAGCTCCTTGAATTCTATCGGGAATTGATATCAGATATACCCAATATCTGTCTTGTGCTTGACCGATTCTTCAGTCATTGATAGACAAGCAAAATAAAGATAACCTGCGAAGCTTGCTTGGCCGTCAGAATGTTGCTGGACAGTCTCCAAAGGACAAATAAAAAGTATTATCCATCGCAATCTGTTTGAAGTATCTATGAAAAGTATACCTACCAAGCTTCTCTCAATGTTTACTAAACTGCTACACCAAGCACAATTCGTGGAGGAAGATCTTCAATTTATAGTTTGTTTAATACCCTGCCCTGCCCTGCCCTACCTTAATTCATTTATTGGCACTATATGGACTAAACCCAAAACTCTATTATCCTCAGCATTTGGCTGATAGACTGCCACACTATTGAGTACCTCTCCCCTCATCTCCATCAATTGTTTCCCAGCTTGCTGAGTGAAGGCCTTCTGCATTCATTGTTTTTGTGGAGGTGATGTGTGAGCATACGAACTGGAAAAATCGAACTCTTGAATGTCAGGTATCTAGTATGCTACTACCGAGCAATAGTATCACTTCAACCCCCTATCTCCTGTGACAAAATCGAATTATCCGATTAGTCCGATGAAATGACTAGTGTCAATACTCCTGCATCTACCTTCATACCGCTTTACCCGTCAACACCAAATTTCCATTCTCCGATGCTACATAATTTAGGTTCTTCTGAAATTCGAACCGATTTAATATCGAACAGTTGCCGACGCTAATGTGCGGTTGAATGGATCATTGTGGATCATTGCACTGACCATAATACCTGGGTTTGAGCTGGGGTCTCCATTTCATTCGTGCACTCAGAGCTGAGCGGTTTTCGGTGTTAAGCAGCTGGTTGTATTTTGCTCTTCACATTTCCGATCTGGTCGGATGAGAGAGTCAGGTATGAAGATACAAACGATGTAATCTTACATGGCAAGTACAAGGATGGTTTCAAGAACAACACCTAGGGTAGTACGATTACAACCTCGAGTTGGGTCATCTAGGAACAATTGGAAGATTGAAATGAAAATCCTCTGGATCATATCCACTCACTCACTCAGGGGGCCTCGGTTTCCAGTCAGTTACCCGTACAGTAACCGGTATTTGTACTTATATTGAAGTATTCCCCAAACCCCGCATTTCTTAGCAACAGTGGCAGTGTTGTACTGTTGCTTTCGACGAATCACCAGCTTCAAGTATCTACTAGCTACATATACCTAGTGTTCATTTATGATAGATTGACTTCAACTTCTTCATTTGGATTCTCTCTCTTGTTTTTGAAATAGTCAACATTTATACCCAGTTATTGTTTCATCTTGTACATCTTCAATTCATATATACCAATCTTTGATTCGTTCATCTGCAAGAATTTCCTGATTTCTTTTGCCAAACTTAAGGATTACCTATCCACGGCGCAAACATCCTTGCTCTATTTGAGAGCTTACCAAATAATAAATTCATCATCATGGTTTTCACACCTCCAGCATGGGTTCCCAATGATCCATTGAGTATGTGTAATCTTCAATTGCTTCAATCATGAAGCTTCCTCGCCTATGTTCACCTCAGAATTGCATGGCTAACAATTCTCACAAACAGATATACCGGATGATATACCAATCAGTCAATTCATGCTCAATGAGAAATACGGCAGAAAACCTCTCAAATCATCTCGCAATCCATTTACATGCGGAATCACAGGGAAAACATATACAGCTTCGGAACAAGTTCAACGGGTAGAACATCTAGCAAGAGCTTTATCAAAGGAATTAGGATGGCAACCAAATACTGGAACAGAATGGGACAAAGTAATGGGAATATTCTCCCTCAATACTGTAGGAAGATTTCCTCAAACATACAAACGAATTTGGGGGGCTAACGATTTGGTAGATTGATTTCATGACATTGGCATATGCAGTTCATGAATTGGGTGGAGTGGCTTCACCTGCAAATGCTCAATATTCTGCTCCAGAATTGGAATTTCAATTGAAGTCTTCAGGGGCCAAAGCACTTTTCACGGTATGATTTTTAGGTATCACAAGCATTCGAAATATGGAACTAATTCGAAAATAGTGTATACCGTTACTCGAGACTGCTTTACAAGCTGCCAAGGGCGCCGGAATCAAAAATGATAGAATCTATATTTTAGATATGCCAGAGATGCTAACTGGAGGCAAGAAAGTACCATTCAAGACTGCAGATGATTTGATCTCTGCAGGAGAAAAGCTTCCAAAATTACAGCCATTGAGAATGGAGAAGGGACAAGCAGCTCGACAAACAGCATATTTGTGTTACTCGAGTGGAACTTCAGGGTTACCCGTAAGTATTTCCCCTGTATCAATTGAGATAATTCTCAAAGTAATCCCGGAAAACGCAAATCCCCCTAAATATGGCTAACAAAATATCAGAAAGGAGTCATGATCAGCCACCAAAATGTTATGTCAAATGTCCTACAACTCAAAGCATACGAGAAAGATTATAGAGATCAATGGGAAACAGATACAGAAGTCGGCTTGGGTCTTCTTCCTCTAAGCCATATTTATGGTTTAGTCGTCGTAGCCCAAGGAACAACTTATCGCGGAGATGAAATAATTGTTCTTCCCAAATTCGAGCTCAAGTTATTCCTAAACAGTATCCAAACCTTTAAAATTCAAGGTCTCTTTCTCGTAAGTATTCTTCACGTGGAATATATTGCAAATCAAAATCTCATGATCATTAGGTCCCTCCAATTATTATCCAACTTGTAAATAATCAATCCATCTGCTCCAAATATGATATCAGTTCTGTGCGGGGTCTTTTCACCGGAGCCGCACCTCTCGGTACAGAAACCGCAGAAGAGCTTCAAAAAATCTATCCTAAATGGGTTATTCAACAAGGCTATGGTATATACTTCTACCCCTCTACCCTCCCTATAAAAACACACCAAATCTAACCACCCCCCTCCAGGCTTGACCGAAACCTCCACCGTCATCTGCATGTCATCCGCCAAAGATCTCTGGCTCGGCTCCTGCGGATCCCTCATCCCCGGCGTGCGCGCAAAACTAGTCAATCCAGAAGGAATCGAAGTCACGGGTCTGAACCAACCCGGTGAATTGGTCGTCCAATCCAAATCCGTCGTGCTCGGCTATCTCAATAATGAAAAAGCGAATGACGAGACGTTTATCCCGGATACAGATGGAAATGGTAGATGGATGCGCACGGGTGATGAAGCTGAGATGCGTGTCAGTCCGGCGGGAAATGAACATATTTTTATCGTGGATAGGATTAAGGAACTTATTAAAGTAAAGGTAAGCAATAAGTTCCCCTCCCAGAAATTCCACCATCTCCCCCTCCCTCCCTCTCCTCTCCCCCTTTAAACAAACCCCCACCTAACCCCCCACCCAGGGCCTCCAAGTCGCCCCCGCCGAACTCGAATCCCACCTCCTCTCGCACCCCTCCATCGCCGACTGCGCCGTCATCCCCATCCCGGACCCCTCCGCCGGCGAAATCCCCAAAGCCTACGTGGTGAAATCCACCTCGGTCGGTATTGAAGAAAACGACGCCCTGATCAAAAGAGATATTTGTAAATGGGTGGAAACGCACAAGGCGAGACATAAGTGGTTGAAAGGAGGTGTGGAGTTTATTGATGTTATCCCGAAGAGTCCGAGTGGAAAGATTTTGAGGAGGTTGTTGAGGGATAGGGAGAAGGAGGCAAGGAGGGCGAAGGGGGCGAAGTTGTAGTTTTGGTTGTAGCTGTGAGGTTGGGAAGAAAGGAGGAGGGTTATCGCAGATAGTGGCAGGATGTCCGATATTGATCTTATATTGATGTTAATCTTACGTGCATTTTCAAGTTGAATTGATTGGATTCGATGCGCAATATAGTCTGTAAATATCGCGACATGAATTTCTTTCTGGGTGTTTTGATGTATTTTTGTATTGAGATTTTTGAATAATCGCTTGCTTGCTTGCTTACTTGCTTGCTTGTTTGTTTGTAAATGAAAATGTCTATTGTCCACGAATTCTATAATTCATGTAATGAGAAAACTCCTCCGCCATCCATCCATGCATGCCATTCATTCATCCATCCATCCATTCACACATTCCCCTCCCCTAAATAGGCGATTCAAAAACCAAACTAATCCCATCATCACCTGCCGTAACAATTCTATTTCCATCACCCTGCACAAACCCCATAACCCCCACGCCATCCCCCCTATGTCCCTTCCACTCCCCCACCAATCCCGAATTCGCAATCCCCGTTCCACCCCTCGCGTCCCATCGTCTAACCACTCCATCCATTCCGCAACTGGTCAACAGCCATCCTCCAGACTGTGCGTTCTTTACAAACTCCACTTTCACCACTGCGTGCTCCTCGTGCGCTTCTTTGATATGTCTGCGTACTGCGAATCGATGCGCTGAGTCGAAGAGCGCAATACTTCCATCCACGCTTGCAGTAGCCATGAGCGTCAAAGGGGGTTGCGCAAATGCAATCGATTCGATTCCATCACCCTGTGCTTGCAAATCCGCAAGAATCTGTCCAGATTGACCCGGACTCGCGCCCGCACCCGAAGCATCAGGTAAACGGGGTAGCCCGACGATTTTAATCGAACCGCCAGCTCCTCCGACCGCAACAAACGAACCCGATGGCGCAATCCCCACGCTGAACAATCCCCCCTCAACCGCAAACCGTTGATCCAACGCCGTGAGTCCCACAACCGTTTGTCCACCTTCGCCTGTTAATCCCGCCGCCGCAGCCTCTCCAAACACATCCCACACATACAACGACCCATCCTCACTAACCGTCGCCAACAGCTTCCCATCTGCCGACCACGCCCCCGCAGTACAACTCTCGGTATGCGCAAAATAACTCTGCATCAACTGCAGCGGTGCCTTCTTCTGACTCGGATCTACAGTGTACACCCACACCGACCCATCATTCGCCCCAAACGCAAACGTATTCGGCGCTTTCGCATACGGACACGCGATCAACCAGTTTACCTCCTCCACTTCCCGCGCTTCGGTGTATTTCTTCCACTTACTCCCATTGGTAACATACACCTGTATTTTCCCATCGAGTCCTCCAGAAACTAAAAACTTCCCATCTGGCTGCGAAAACGCAAGCGCGTTGATCGAATCCGCGTGTCCCTCCAATTTGAATATCGGTTCCTGACTCCCCCGCTCCACCCGCTCCGATGGATTACTCTGATAACTCGCGGGCAACACCGGGGTGGGCGCAGGAGTCGCATCGAAAATATATCCCACACCTGGAGCATTATCCGCATCGCCATCGGAGCCGCCTGTAGCGACGAGTTCGGGACGCAGAGGATGCTGGGCAATGCAGAAGATGGAGTCGCCGTGGGCGTCCATGTGGGCGGACGAATCATTTTGCAGTTGGATTTCTTGTTCTTGCATTTCTTGATCGGCGTCGCCGTCTTGATCTTCGTCGCCCGAATCCATGGCCGCGTCGCCGTCTATGTCGATGATTTCTTCTGCGGCGTCGGCGGGGTCGAACATTTCGTTTTCGTCTTCGTTGGTGCGGTCATCGTCTTGGGGGTGGTGGGAGGAGGACATGGTGGTTTTGTTTCTTTTTCTTTCTTTCTTTATTCGATTTTGTGAAGAGTATAGCAGAAGAAAAGAAGAAGAAGAAATAGAAGTCAAAGTCAAAAAATAAAACCCAATATCCTTAATCTTCTCTCCAAATTGTTATAATAAATCCTTCGATGGTATTTTCTTCCGACTTCGAAAATGCTTGATAATCTTTTTTTTCGGCTGGGTTTGTTCTGTAATGAATTGTTTTTGCCCCGCGACGCACAGACCTTTCTATTGCCCCTCTATTAGTTTAGTATTGATATCCCCGATGGAAGCTTAGAAATACGTACCTACCTAGTAAAAGTATGTATGAGGTAGGTGGTTATTTTGGAATCTCTGGATTTTTACTTTCATTTTCATGTGGAGTGTGCATCTGAATAGACAGATTCTATGGTTTATTTTGAAACTGCGTAACAAGTGAAAGGAAAAAATCAAACAGATTCCTTGTGTACTGGGATCGGGTAAGAGGTAGGTATGTCCGTGTACCGGGACGGGGGGATAACCGGTGTGACTCTTCGGTATGTACGTACTGTTGGTATGAAGGATATAGGTTGGACTTTGTAGATGTGGGATTCGGTGCTTAAGTTTTGTTTCGTACCATGTATCTACTACCTAGTATATATCTTTTATTCTTCATTTTTTCCCTCATTTTCGTCGAGAGATTCTGCATGCTCCTGCTTGTGCGGGAATGGGTAAAAAATCGGTAGGAATTGTTCCGGAGGGTGATGAGTGATATGCTCATTTGAGTAAGAGATATACATGAAAAGAGAATCATAAAGGAAAGAGGGGATAAGCATTCTACCTGTGAGCATTCAGAAAAGAGTTAGGAAATAAGAGGAGATAAATGATAAACCTCACTACTATCCATTCGAATCGCATCGCATCAATGCATATACTCGTAGACATTCCTGATATTATATAAATCTCCATAAATAGAATTTCTCTCTCCCCAGTCATATTCATGTCCCTCCACTATATTATATCCCAAAACCATTTGTTCAAACAGTCCACAAATAATTTTCTCCCCTGCTCCCAATCCGAATTCCTAATCCCCTCTCACTCCTGAAATTTCTTTCCCTCCCTCTCCCTACTCAATCCTCCACACCGTTCCCCTCCCCGTCTCTTCCTCCAAACTCCCAACTCTCCCGACGCCGAAATATCACACTCAAGCGCCTCGACTTTCCCTGTTCTTCTGCACACGAATTATGCTTTTGACAGCTATCTACTGGTTGAAAACCACCCGTTGAGGTTGCATTTACTGTATGAGTGGATACAATTATGAAGAGAATGGTGGTGAAGAAGAGTTAGAGGGAATGGGTGTGCATGGTGATGTGGCGTGATGTGTTGACGATGTGGGTTTGTATTTTGTGGTGGTTTGGAATTGAGATGGGAAGAGTTTTGATGCAGATGTGTTGGATGAGTTGGTTGTATTTTGTTTGTTCTAGGTTTGTGATTAGGTATGAGGAGGTGTGAGTAGGAAGTATTTTGCGAAAGAATATCGTGTGGTAATTTGTAATTCGTTGTCTTGAGATTGGAAGCTTCCAGTTTGTAGTTGAAAGAAAGAGGGGAAGATTGATATAATAGAAATGAGAATCATATCTAGAATTATCGAATTGTGCATAGAATGACTAGAGAATGATGTGAGAGCTGAATGGAGATGAGAATTTTATGAATCATGAGTCCATTCTGCCAAGCTTGATCACCAGATCTGACTCTATGAATATCAAATACTCGAATACCGAAATCACCGGCTGATTCCCAAATTTGTAGTTTCTCTTCACGAGCGCTTAAATTGTAGAGAATCTTCTATGCTTTCTTGTGAATCATCATTCAACTCGGTGGTTTATGTAGAGTAAACGATCCTTGGTATCAACAACTTTTACCTGATATCATTTTGTTAATGAGAGTGATACAAATGCAAACAATCAGCCGTAAGTACTACCCAAGGGGAGGAGCGAAGTCAATCTTAAGGTGACTTAACATATCCTGGATTTTGGATGATTGCCCAAATACCAAGAAAGCTTGAATTGTTTGATCATTACTTGATTACTCGAAGACAGGGGCCTCGCGGTGAACATTCAGCCGCGATCAACATCAAGCTTCGGTGTCCCATCCATACCACCTCAGCTTAAGATGGCAAGTTAACCATAAGCAAAAGTACCAAGCCAAAAACCATCCAAATGGTGTGTACAGATATCCGGTCAAGAACTCAACCACCAGAGAATTTCTAGCGGACGCTTTTGCCGATCGAGGTGCCAATGGACGAAAAACACCAGTATCTTACCAAAGAGCTTCGCTATGCCCTTCGACAAGAGTCTAGAGAAGACATAACGCAAGTTAACTTATCAACCATGGTAGATACGACATCGTGGCATACTTTCTTCGGGGAGTACAAGATGTGATCTAGAATCTAGCACCCCTCCGTTCAAAATGTTGACATATATGGCTGGCACTTAGATTTGCAAATGGAGGTGATCTTATTTGTGTGTTTTTTTCACGGCGGTGTAGTTCCTCTAACGTTGAGGAAACAAACAAATACTGAAGAATAAATCAATAAGTAATGGGATCCGCGCAAGATAAATTATGAGCGCAATCAATTGCGTGCTGTAAACCCGTGCTGGAATCTGCGGAAGAAAACAAAGTTGAAGCATCAATGCTCAGAATAGGATAAAAGAAAGAATTAGTACAGTGTTCTACCAACAGAAGCCCTGGAAACTGGTCATACTACACTAGTGAAAATGATAATCTGTAGCTAGGAGAAGAATCATTTGCAAATCGTAGCCTATGTACTGTATAACAAAAGTACGCCGTTGATAGTTCTCACGAGGAAGACCAATCGCACAGGTTTGTATGAGGTTCCAGAACCCGCTCCGGTATGTTATCAGTTTAAAGGCGAGTTTTATCCGAATGGAGGGGTGAATGCTGGGGCAACATCGCGCCAAGAAGAAGAACGTCCAGTAACAAACCTTCAAATATGTGAACTTCGATGAAGCGACTTGCGATCAGGCATCGATTTTTAGGCTGCATAATGATTGAATAGACGTGATCCATTGCAACGTACCGCTCAACTATATTGGAAGCTGAACAGCGTCTAACATCGATTTTTGGGGTTGACTTGGAAGACGCTCTTCTTCATACATCATCTACTTCTCGAATGTCAAATCCAAATAATCCGTTACTTGCCACACTACTCTCATCGATCAATTTTTGAGCAGTTTCTACACCAGCAGTTGGAACTCGATATTCAAATCGCTTTCCCTTCGCAGGCAATCGACCATCTGGAAGAGGATATGGGAATGGAAGGTACTCAGGTAAGAGACCGAGCTGACGGAGGGCTGTGGCTTGATCCCAGGCAATATGCTCATGATATAAACGATCACCACGAACATTCACCACAGAAGTAAATGGGATTCGTGCATATTTGTGAGTTGGCGGAACTCCAGGGAGACTATCAGAATGTTAATTAAAAGTTTATTATACACTTCGAATGATACTCACATCCAATCTATCACTCTATCATGCGTGAAACTGAAGACGAACTCATCGATAACTCGATCAACACCAACAGTCCGACTAACAAGTTCGAGCTTCGTGTCTTCTGGATTATTAAAAACGAAGTGATTGGTGTAAAAATCGGTCAGAGGTCCTCTTCCAATTCCACCAGTCATCTAGAGAAAAAGCATTAGTACAAAGATTGAGCAGTCACCAGATCACTTACTGTTGGAATATGATTTACATATGGTTGATCAACCATAGTACCCATTGTCTTCCCAACATTCCGTTCACCAAATTCATAAAGTGTATGCTCATCCCAAATAGCTTCAAGGTCAAAGATAGGTCCACCTAGGCATTGTTTGATGAAGCCAAGACTTCTTGTATGTGCCACACCCGCGTTCCCTGGATCATAGTGATTATGACTAGGGAGGATAAAGTTTGTCGACTTTGTTGTAGCATATACATGAGAGATATCTTCAGTTCTCAATTGAGGACCCTGTAAGGCCGAGGAGCTGTGGACCATCAATGGAGGTATAGATTTAAGCGTAACTTTTTCGGTCAATTTTTTGGTATCATTGGTGAAGAAAACTGCGACCGAGAATACTCCTCCGAGTAACAAATTCAAGACAGAATCAGTGTGTATGTTTTCATCCAAGTTTTCAGCATAGACTAAATGAGAAAACATATTGTCAGCTACACAATGTACGTGGTCTGTACATTGTAATGGACACAAATCAACATAGAAACATACTAATGAGTCCCAATTTATCAGAATGAGTACATTCTGGTGAAGACTTTAGAGCTTTTATACCCGACTCCAGGTAAGCTTGCAAATCAATATCAACAGCTTTCAACGTACGCTCGGGAATTGTAACATTCACAACAACAAAACTTTCTTCTGCCCATTTTTGAATTGGCTCTGGATCAAGTGTTTTTCGATCCGTTCGTGAAGTGTAACTCTCTGGTGTTAGGATCAATAATCCTGGACCTCTACCTCTTCTCGATAGAGGTTTTAGAATAGTCAATCGATCACCCAGATGATGAGGTTGTGAAACCAAGTCTTTTTCAATGGTATTCATTTTGTCACGGTGGTGTAAAATGATTGATTTTGGGAATAGTAATATTCTTGAAGATTTTTGGGTGCTGTTCAATTCCTGGGAGCGGATGAAGCATGGGGAGGAGAGCATGAGAGATACTAAGTAACCACGTGGTAGCCTCAGGTGATCTTATCATACGGAGAACTGTTCATATCAACATAATGTCAACGGCGACCTCGAAATACCAAGATCGCAATGATGATCAAACTTCACGTGATATTATTGATAGCTTTGCTGGCGTTATTATTACCAGGTTGTATCACTCTTCATTGTCAACGTCTGAAGTGAAGCTCACACGGTGTGCTCGCAGTCTACAAACACTACCTACCGCCCGAGGATACACTCACTGTACATTGTGCTCGTCCATACTAGCTACTAGATACTAGATAA